ATATGGATAGGTAGTAATAGACATAGTCAAGACAAAATATCTGTAAAGTGGGGACTGAAATGGGGTTTCATTACCTTCAAATTATTAGGTATCACTTTCTGTGTTGATTTAGATAGAATGTTAAATCTAAACTATGCTCCTCGAATACAAGAAATAGAAAAAATATTACAAAAATGGTCAAAACAGTCACTTACCCCGTTTGGTAAAATAACAATTATAAAGTCACTAATTATATCAAAATTAAATCATCTGTTCCTGTCCATCCCAGGTCCAGATGATAATATGATACGTCAACTTAATAGTAAAATTTATTCATTCATTTGGGATGATAAGCCTGACAAGATAAAGCGGGATCTTTTATGCCAAGAATACTTTAGAGGGGGCCTAAAAATGATTAATTTGAAACATTTTATACAAGGGTTAAAACTTACTTGGGTAAGAAGATTATTTAAGTCAAAATCCAATTGGATCCAATTATTTACCTCCACCCAAAATATAAACTTTACAGAGTTGGCTTATTTTGGAATTATTAAAAAATCAAAAAACAAATTTTGGGATGAAGTTTTTCATGCCTGGAAAATTATGTCAAAACTCAGACATCCATTTCATTTTGAGGAAGTCATTTCGACATCTATATGGCATAACGAACATATTAAAATTGATAACGTCAGCGTTTACTATAAAAATTGGTCACATCATGGGGTATGGACTGTAAATGACCTGTTAGATGAACATGGAAATATATTAACATATGAAAATTTTGAAATTATGTATAATTTCAAACCCATGTTTCTACAGTTTTATGGGCTTATATTAGCACTAAAAAAATGGCTACAACACCGAAAGAGAGAAAAAACATCAGGCTATTATACCTTTTAACATTAATATTTTCTTTAAGTCCGAAAAGGGCTCTAAGGACATGTATACTATTTTAAATCAAGGAACTTTACCTATAGATTTTGTAGCAGAAAAAAAATGGGAAGGTATTCTTAATAAAGTTGTAGAAAATTGGAAAAAAATACACTTGTGTGTTACCAAGGTTTCAAAAAACACTAGGTTATGTTGGTTTCAATATAGAATTATTCACTATATCTTAGGGACTAATGCTCTACTCTTTAAAATGAAACTTGTTAACTGTAATTTGTGTACATTCTGCAAGGAAGAGCCAGAAACTATAGAACATTTACTTTGGGGTTGTCATATTGTAGCCGACATTTGGCACAATCTAAATTCTTGGATTTTCGATATAGTTCATATAGAAATTCCACTAAATTTGAATATTGTCATTTTTGGCCTCTATGAAAATTATAAATTTAATTTTATTAAAAATAAAGTTATCTTACTGACAAAGTATTTCATTTACAGATGTAAGATGCAAGATATAAAACCTCATATTAAAGGTCTTCAAAATTACATAAAAGAAAACTTGATTTTAGAGAAACATATTTCTTCAAAATATTTAAGTATGGAAGAACACAACTTGTACTGGAACCCCTGGGCTAAGGTCATTAATTAAATTTAAATTAGGTTAATGTATACACATATGTGTACAAAAAAATGTATATGAGTATTTGAAAGTACTTGTATAATGTTATACCATATGCATGCTCATATATTTCTTGCACTACTATTACTATTATTACTATATTAATGAAAATATTATTACTATACTTCATCCATAGATTTCATAGTGTTAGTCCATAGAATGCTTATCATGCTTATTTATTTCACTTGCTTGATTATTGTACCACAAGATAAATATATGTTGATACCTGTAAATTCATGAAGAAAAAAAAATTGCGGAAAATTTTCTGCTAAATCGTAAGGTATGATACAAAACCACATTATTCACCAAGAAAAGCCATGGGACCATATATATTTAAGTGCAAATAGATCTCGCGCTCAAATTAGACAATAGCAGTTTTTCCATAAATAGTTTATTAAAAATGCCATTTAAGGAGATAATTGCTAAAAATAGCATTGCCGGCAATGGGGCAAACATTTAGTAATTTGGTGGCAGGTACCAGTTTTGGTGTACCAGAACATGTGTCCCACGCAGAAATGTGGTTATAGTTAAGCATTGAGGTATATAGTTGCATCATGTGGATTGGAAAAATAAATGAATGTAAATTCTAGGCTATTATACTACACAAGTAAGTAGTTGCATACACAGGTTGGGGATTTCATTCACACATGGGTCCAATCAGAAGTAAAAATTGTGGTCTCCTCACTTGACGGCATCCAATCAAAGTGGGGAAAAAATTCAGTTTTATTTAAACAAAAATATCTTGAGATCTTGATGGTAAGGATAGGTTCGGACAAGGTTCTAATTCACTGAATATCATTTATCTCTTGAATTTTGCCTAAAATTCTTGTCTGCTATTAGCAGGATTCTGCAGGTGAAGATTAGATTTGTATCAAAGCATCACATTTTTTGCCTTATTTACAATGCATTTATAAATTTAAAAATATCCATGCTGGACAGACACCCAAATTTAAAGGTTTTCTATATATTCACATAAGCACGCACACATCTTAGTTACTTGAAACCATACATTTTATTTGTATATAAGCTTGAATGAATTTTCAAGAAAATAAAATCATAAATCCATGAAATTCTAAAGATTTATTGTAAAATAACTGGTTTCTGTCACCTTTATATTCTCAAAAACCATTCCACGGTTAATCGAGAAAGGGGAAAGAAACATGTCTGTATATTGTACTTTTCTACTCATAATAATACCTCCATTATTTGGAGAACCACTTCTTTAACGTATACTGTACTCTATCACATCATCAATTCAGGATACATCCGTCATAAAATCAATACTTATATTGGAAATGTTATCCGATTAAAATAATCATCATACAATCCAAAATTTATTATCAATCAAAGCTATTATGTTTATCGATCCGATACATGCAGGATAAACAAGTTGATTTGGGAAGTTACCTAATTCATGCAGGAAAAAAATAAATGAATTATTAATCGAATTCATTGACAATTTTGCAAAATTGAAAATTGAAAGTAAAGCAACAGACAGCTCTCCAGAAGATACATACGTTGACCAAATACAGTAATTTCGTCTCAAATGAGAAATAATATTAGCAAGATTGATGGATATATAGTGGCAACCAGAGATAACACGATCTCTATTCGACAGGAGGCGAGCATGAAACCATAGACTGTAAACAATTGATAATGAATTTGATCATCAAAATTCCAAAAAAATAAATAATTTAAAGGCACATAACTCTCTCTATATCACTGCTAGACATTCAAAAACTGTCATTACCGAAATTAAGAGAGAGAACAAAAATGTTGTTGACAATTCATTTTGGATTTACTTTAATTTTCTCATTTGAAATATCTTATAACAGTGTTTTACGCAAGTACATTTACTGCCTATTTTTGTTCTTATTGAGTCAGTAATCTGACCTGTAAGTTGTTTACATTTGTTATATCACCCTACTGATACATGAAGGTTGTATGTTTACTTCTAGTGGTATGTTGAATTCCTTTGCTAATAGAGATTTAACGTGGGTCACATCTGCTTTGTTTATAAATTACATTATGATTGAGGATGGTGCATAGTTTGTGAATATTTGATGCAATTAAGTTAAATAAACAAGTAGAATTTAAGTTTAAATATTTGTGCATACTTGGTGTATTCTTAGTGACAAAGCGTGAATGAGGTAAATGTTTTTGTTATTCTAAACAGATCCTTGTTGGATTCGAATTCAGTTGGAATTGTGTTGTACTATTATTTTTTTAATTATTTTGCTGCACTTTACGACCTGCTGCGTGTTTTTTTTTTGTCCAACGAGGAATTAACACTGATGCTTAGTTGTTGTCCGCACAATATTGGACAATGCTGCGTGGTTTTTGTCCGCATAATATCATACACTGATGCGTGGTTTTTGTCCGCATAGTATTGGACACTGGTGCGTGATTTTTGTCCGCATAGTAGACTATTAGACACTGTTGTTGTCCGCATAGTATTGTACACTCATCTATGTTTTCCCCCGCAAAGCATTGGTCACTGTCATGACTTTGTGAATTTGTTTTATACGGAATGAAAGGAAATTCGTCGTATTTTATTGGTGTTGTTTTTCGTCAGTTTAGTTTTGAAAGGTACAATGCATCTTCTAGGTAGCACGGTAGTATTTGCATTCCAGAATTTAGGTTGCTGTTTTGTGTACCCTACTTAATATATCTGAACAGTGTGATTGGACAAAACATACTGTATCAACTGAACATACTTTCTCAAACTGAGTGATGAACCAGGTGTAGAAAAATATGAAATAATTTTCCATACAGATGAAAATGAATTTTTGAGAATTTTTTTTAAATGCATGATGAAAGACCTAAAAGCACAAGTGGCCTTAGGTTTCTAAAGATATCAAAAAAAGTAAACGGTCATGACACATATTCAAATTCATTTCTGAATACTATTAGTATAATGAAAGAACTTCAATTACCTGTTTATGTAGAATTTTTGGCAGTGTTAGAAAGTGTTGAAAATTCTAAAAAGGCTATCATTATCTTTTATTGGCCAGGAAATACTACCGTGCCCCCTCCAATGTCTACTTACAGTGCCTTTTATCATTTGATATACTATACCCTGACCTGAAAGTTTTGTTATATTATAACATAAGCAGAAATAACAAGAAAAACTCAAGAAGGGGAGGTGATATATTGGACTAATTTATGTCGTTTAAATCATATAGCATTTAAAAGGTCTTCGTATTCAGGGTACTTTCACTGTAGTGGCATTGAGAGCCTTCCGGATTAAGGTAAATCCAGAAAGTGCACGCATTCTGAGGATTCATTTTTGTTTGTGTTTGGAATATTAAACTCTCCTATTAAGTATCCACTATTTTGTTAAAATGTTTATTTAATTGCGATCATGGGACGTGAAATATATATCTATTGAAAATGTCAACGTGATAACCTATAATCTGTTAACAGTTATCTCCCCTAATGGCCTTGTGCGTTTGCACAAGGAAATAATATTCTATTTTTAACGAAATAAACACCAGATCTAAGTCAAATGATTTTCCGAAAGTTAAATCTTTATTTTGTAAACTGTTGATGATAAGCAATACCAGGTATATATATATTTGCTTATACTATTTAATAATAACAAACATATTTATTAGATAATTGTATTGGTTTGAATTGTTTGTCTTCGTCTTACGTTTTAAATTGTTTTGATGACCTACTTGACTGTTGTGAAGTAAATATGTTAGTATTTTTCAGATGCCTATGATCAAACCTGATTTACGATTTATTATGTCAAACGGTAAGAAACAGTTTATCTGTGTATTCTATTTATAAATACAGACATGGCACACATTGTTTTACTAATTTAATTATAAACATTATTTCATTTGCACGCGATGATTGAGAAATAAATGACTAAGTTACTTGATTATTATTTTTTTTTTCAGTAGTCAGGCTTTTACAATCCCTGTTCATCACCACCTGACTATGGTGTTAAGGGGTTTGATATAGGAAACAAAAAAATTAATATTTGACTACATTTTTTTTCTACTGTGAATATATATTATATGAATATCAACATTATAATAAAAAGGGGAAAAGAAAACAATCACACACACATACACCCACTCTTGCACTTGCTTTAACATAACATATATCAACTTGTGTATTGCAAAGAAAAATGTGTTCTTTGTAAAGATCTGCTCTTTATAAACTGTAAGTTTCATTTTTTACTTTATATTTTTGCTAAAAGCCCTATAATACTTGGCTTATTGTCATACAATTTACATTTGTATATATAGTTCTTTGCAATGATAATCATCAAATTCAACAGTAAATTCTCATTTTGAAGGCCAAGAAAAATGTGTTTCTTAGATAATGTAAAGTTCACAAAATATTGTTTCAATTTTTGTGAAAAAGATTGCCATATAAAATGTGTTATTGGACATTCATAGAATAAATGCTCCATGGTTTCATCAGAAACCTTACAAAAAGTACAAAGCTTTGAATCTTTAAGTTTAACTTTATACAAGAAAGTATTAGTTGCAATTATTCTATGTAAAAATTTGTACTGAAAAGTTCTTAAATAAGTGTCTTTACATGATTTTCTTAAAATAATATAATATTCTGACCAATCTGCAATTTCAATACCCAATAATTTCTCCCATTGTAAGAACTTTTCTGTTAGCAGTTGCACATTTCTGTCAACAAGATTTTTGTATACAAACTTTGCCTTTTTGTTACACAATAATCTTTCCAAAAAATTATCGATACAGTTAAAAGTTTCAAAATTTACATGAGCAATGTTTTCTTTAATATGTTCTCTCATATACTTTGGAATGTTTGCAATGAGACCATAATACTTTAAGAAATTATTTGTTTGAAGTCTTGGTCCTATCTGATCAAAATTACAAAAATTCTTAGTCTATACGTTAACAAGGTCAAACAAAGACTGCACTCCCCTTCTCTGCCACTGAATAAAGTACGGAAAATCTACTAGAGATGCGAAATTTAAAATATCTAATGTCAAAATATCTTGAACAGAAATATTGGTAGTAAGCCTTGCTACATGAAAGCTAAAAAATACATCTTTCCAAAAAGGATTGCTAAGACTATCAGAGATTTCTCCGAGTTTCTCCTTTTGAAAATGCAATACTCTTTCTCCTCCATACTGTTCAAGGCTTTTCAATAACAATGATTGCCAACTACCAGATAAATTGGACGAAAACCTCTTTATCCAACCAATCTTAAGGTATATATTAAAATAATGTATATTAATCATATTTAAACCTCCTTGTGGAATATCTCCGATCAAAGTACTTCGTTTAATTCGATCAGGTTTTCCACTCCATATGAATTGAAAGAATAAAGTATTCAATTCATTGAATTTTGACTCTGGCAAGTTGGGTAGTGCAGTCAACAGGTGAATTAATTTTGGAAGTGCCAAAGTCTTGATAACAGTTATCTTTCCCATTAGGGTTAATTTTCTATGTTGCCAACTCTTAAGAATGCCTGACACCTGATTTATCTTTTTGGAGAAGTTAATTTCTGGCATACTGTCAAGATCTATAGAGAATTCAATTCCCAAAAGTTTAAAATTTGAATAGCACCACTGAAGTTTTAAATCAGGACAGAGAATCAGATCTGAATACTTTTCCTTGACAAACATATATTCATTATGAAATTTACATTACTTAACTGTTAGGGAAACGTCAAGAATTAAATGTACAATAACATAATAGGTAATAGTTTTACTTGAACCGAATTCATAAATCAGTATGTGTTTCGAATTTACGTATTTAATAAATTAGGAACCACTTATGTCGTTAGCCAAATATGTTAAATAATCATTACTATGGTTTAAGATTAATCAAACTAGGGGGGGAGGGGGTGTGGTGAAAAGATTTTCCCTTGTTACAGGATGAAATAATAAATGTAAGATATCCAGTGACATTAATGACATCATGTAGTAAACTTAATTAATATGTTAGTAGATCGAGTTATAAATTTGAGAATGAGTTGCAACGTTTGATGCTTTTCAACTAGCAGGCATTACAAATAAATGTGAAAGCAAATCTACAATTCAAGATTAGTCCACAGAGAACAAATCATTTATATGCTGCAATGAATAGATTACGTATTAGGATTTGCAGTAAATGATGCATTATTTGTACTTGAGAATTAATCACACATTGAAAAGCAAAACATTTGACAGTATACCACAAAGATAACACATCACGAACATATATGTAAGACTGTATGCCTTAGTCAGACTTGATCACCATGTTAGACGTTGGTCGTAGTATAATACATATGAAAGATTCTTTTAATGCTCGTCAATTAAAATCGGATTTGTCAAATACAGCTGTATAACAAGTTTGGATTATGACAATTGTTATCCATTCGTTTGATGTGTTTGAGCTTTTGAATTTGCCATTTGTTTTCTGTATTCATGTACGGTCTACACCAAATGATTTGAGAGCAATATCAACACACAGTTAAGAAATATCATTAACTTTGGTTAAATTACACGATATATTAAATGGCAAATTATTCATCAGCTTACGTAAAATTACTATCGTTATAAATACAACATAAGCGATTCAGCTGTTACTACGCATTAAAACTAACATTTTATTTCGCGTGTTATGTATAACAATTGCGTTTAAAACATGAAGAATGCATTATACATGTTATATATTATATTATGCATTTACTATACGGTTATTAACGATTGTTATCCTTTGTTCTAATCATTTCAGATGAAACTCTTGAAAGTTTGATAAAAGGTAAGTCATTAAAATGTAATTAGCCCCCTACCGACGAAGTCGAAGGGGATTTTAGGTTTGCACTCTGTCCGACTGTCTGTCCGTCCGTCTGTCTGTCTGTCCATCCGTCAGACCGGCAAATAAGTTTTCCAGACTTTTTTTCTTCATTCTTTAAGATATTGATTTGATATTTGGTGTATTGTTATATCATGACAAATTACAGGTTAAGTTTGATTTTCACGATTTTAGCTTTTCTCCTTGTTCGGTTAAAGCCCTTTCCCTAGAATTAAATTTTTATGAAAAACTTATGAATTACCAGACTTCTGTTCAAAAGGAAAAAAAATCATTTTTTAACTTTCCCTAGAATCAAATTTTTGATGAAATACTTATTAATTACTAGATTTTTATTCAAAGGGAAATAACTCATTTTTTAAAAAGAAATTTGTAAAAGACATTGTATTAAATATAAATGACATTTTTGATTTTTTCCCTTTTCTTTAGTAAATTGTTTTAAGAATATAGTGAAAGGCTTGTTTGTTATTTTATGTAGTTTACACCATGACAAGTTATAGATCAAGTTTTAATTTCGTTCCATTACAATGAATTTTTAACCGGTTGGGGACTATGTATTGCCATGCAATACTCACAGAATACTTGTTTAAAGTAAATGTAAATCGAAACGTGTTTTAGATTGTTATCGTGGTAATGAAACCACGAAACTTGTCTCATTCGATAATAAAGCGAATAAACTCATTATATAAACCAGGATTGAAATTAAGTATTTGCACCAGACGCGCGTTTCGTCTACAAAAGACTCACCAGTGACTCTCGAATCTAAAAAAAGTTTAAAAGGCCAAATAAAATACGAAGTTAAAGGGTATTGAGGACCAAAAATTCCTAAACGTTTTGCAATATACAATTAAGGTAATCTATTCCTGAGGTAGAAAAGCCTTAGAATTTAAAAAAAAGTTTTGTAAACAGTTAATTTAAAATGATGACTATATCAATGATAATTAACGTCAAACACATACGTGCTGACTACTGAGGTGGTGATACCCTCATGGAATAAAAACTCCACCAGCAGTGGCATCGACCCATTGCAGGATTGGGATTAAGTATTTGCGCCAGACGCGCGTTTCATTTACAAAAGACTCATCAGTGACGCTCGAATCTAAAAAAAGTTTAAAAGGCAAAACAAAATACGATAGAGAGTTCTGTAGTGTTGCTATAACGTTAAATAAATAGAGACCAAATTCTTTTATAGATGCAAATGGTGAATATCAATTATTTAGGTATCTAATGTTTGCTAATAGAAACTATATTTTTATGCCCCTTCCACGTCCGTCTGTCCGTACGTTCCAAAATTATTGTCCGTTCTCTTTCTTTAGATTGCCTCAACCAAATGTTAGGAAACTTATACACAACGCTTATAACCACAAAAAAAGCAGATCAAGATTTAATTTTGTTTGCGTCGGTTTCATAGATCTCGAGTTCTGTCGTACTTTTATAATTGTTAAATTGACAAATTTGCAGTTTCCGCAATCTAACTTTATTTTGACTGCACCACAATGCGTCTTACCCCCAAAATCAGATCAAGTTTGAAATAAGATGACATCACTTCCACCGTTTTCGAGTTCTGTCCCTTTGTAAATGAAAAAAGTGACAAATTTGCAGTTTCCGCAATTTATTTTTGCCTCAACCAAATGTTTTGAAACTAATAAACCATGTTATGTCGACCAAACACAAATTAAGGTCGAATTTGGATAGTGACACTTTTGCCGTTTTTGAGTTATGTTCCTTCTTCAATTGCAAAATCGCTGAACTTTCATCATATTTACAAGCCACATTCTTTGATTATTTTTAAAAATCGTGACAGCTCAAATTTATTTACTCTGTTTTCATAATAAACAGCATGCTAAAAATAAAACTCGAAAGTGTTAGTCCAAATAATTGGCAAGTGTGTTTTTATATATGTCAGGTGTGACGTTTAATGTTAAATCCAATACCCATTTCTAAAGATTGTATGATCAGTTAAACAGATCAACACAGATTCTTTGCAGTGCTCATAGTTTGAATTTGAACATTTTAAATCAAGGTTAGTTTAAATCTTTTTTGTACAGGTCGCTAGTTGTTTAGTGACTCTCCATGCTCCCCTTTATTTCATCCTACTAAGTAATGAACTGTTCAAATGGTTTAGTCAGTGATATACATTTTAGTGTCCCTTTTCCTTTAATTCCATCAACAATATAATGATCAATTCATTTGCCGTTTCACTCTCTAATTGAAAATGGGTCAAATTTTCAAAAGTGTACACCTAAGCATAGTGTTTTGCTAACAATCTAAACAAAATTGAAATCAAACCAATGACGTGACGTTGTTTTTATATTTTGGAGTACCAGTAATGATATTCCTGACTTTTGTTTCGGGTTTTAAAACAAACAATTCAGAAGATGTGTTTGGTTTGGACACTTTTTGACGTTAATTCCTTTCAATATTTAAGGCACTGCACGTAATCGGATAAAGCAGAACTTTTGCTGTTTGAAACAATTCCTTGTAAATTGCAATATTGACGAACTGATTGAAACATCTTACCAGGACAAGCTAATTGATTACGCTATGTACAACACTATGAAGGATTTGCGTGGTTCTGTTCTGCAAGTTGAAGGTATTCTGAAAAGAGCATCTGAAGCAGACGAAGACAAATGTTGGAATTTTCTAAATCTTCTGGCAAATGTTACAGGTTTTAATTTGAGGACTTTGCTAAAGCCAGGTAAATTAATTCAATAATTTAAATTGTTTATAGTAAGATGTTTATATTTTCCCACAAATGTGATCCTCATTTTTTTTATAAGATATTACAACTTAAATTTATTCCTCTACTTACATATACAAAACATATATCGGATGACAGCAGACATAAAACATGAAAATAATAAACATTTAGAAAGCATTTAAAATTGATCAATGGATGCCTTTTAAAACAAAGTGTTGGAAATGCTATAAAAAATCAAACCCGCAAAAACAAAAGGTGAAGGAATGGGTCTTTTTACAGAAAATGAAAAAAAAAGAACATTCTCGAAAGTAGTACATATACTTTTAATATTAACATAAAACGCAAAGAAAACGAATTTAGTGACATACGGGAATGATTTACACTAACCATGATAACAGGTTTGAACGAAGTTAAATGATGATCTCACTTTTATTTAAAAATATCTGTTTTAAACAAATATCTTTTTCGTTTGTTTATGATTCGAGTTTTAATGACTGTCAGTTTCACGTTTCCTGGGGATGCTTATATTCTTACGTCATTATTCAATGCTGTCATTTACACGGATTGAATTCGGTTAACTCATTCATAAAAATCATACGACATAGGAGTATAAAGGAACAGTCTGAATGAATCATGACATTGCTGATCAGTGGACACACAATATATTCATATTTTACCACGGATGTGTTCTCAAAGCGTCTGAGCGTGAACATGAAAATAGTATAATAGCCTTTAAAGGCTTCTTTTGTCTTAATAGGTTTTAATGAGTGTTTGCATTGCCCAAATAATTCCCACGTTATCGTCTACAAGTTTGTTTTGTTTCTGTATATAACACTGAGAGTGTAAAAAGAGACATTGTTACCATGAGCAACTTGACGGGTGCAACAAGTGGAGAAGTCTCCGTTGTAACTGATTTCATACACATACAAAAAACCCAGCAGAAGTTTAATTTTTAATTATACGTCGGTAACATCAGACTTCAATGTAGAAAATAATACTCCTTTAACTTGAAACTGTGAACAGTCGAAGTTTAGATATGTTCCCTATGGCCATGTTATTACGGGGGACCTCAATATCGTCCAGGACAGAGAGGTTCAAAACTTTTTGAAAAAAGGACCAAAATGTCGTCCTCCATCTAAAATAGATTGGAAACAGTGTCGTCTGGTCACCAAAGATGCTCATTCCTCGTTTCTAAAAAATGGTGTTAACGGGAAAAATCTGATAAAAAATCTCTTGATTCTTATTTAAATAAATGTATGAATGTTTAAAAATAATTTAGAAGTAAATAATAGAGTACATAATACGCCTATTTTTCAGAATAAAAATATAAACTTCAAGAACTTTCTAAGCGGTTTGTGCTTTTACTGGCCGACAAAGCAGCCAACAATGTGGTGTTGGTATGCCGTAAATACTACACCGACGTTCTTGAGAATGAAATTGTAAATTTATCTACATTCAAGTCCATGCGCTCCACAGAGAGTCATATAGTAAACAAACATATCATAAACACATCACAGCTTAAGGCTTCTTCTGAACATTTGAAGGTCCCTACTATGTATTGGTTACCTAAACTAAACAAAAAAAAAACAGTAAAATATCGTTTCATCTCGGCCTCTAGTAAGTGTTCTACAACTAATCTTTCAGTGCTTTTCACAAGTGCCTTAACTACTATCAAAGAGCTTATCATAAACTATTGTAATAAAATATATGAATATAGTGGAATTAGCTATTTTTGGAGTGTAAGAAATTCTTTGGATGTTTTAGATAAATTACGTGCTTTTGATGGTCCTTTTATTTTTGTTGACAATTTTGACTTTGCTACTCTTTACACTACACTTCCACACAATCTTATCAAACAAAAGTTTTCCTATTTAATTAAATGGTCGTTTGGTAAATCTGAATGCAAATACATTTGCTGCAACTCATTTAAAGCCTTCTTCGCTAATGAGAAAGGTAAATATGCTAGATATACTTACTGGAGGTGTGATGAGATGATTGAAGCTGTTAATTTTCTCCTGGATAATATTTATGTACGTTTCGGCAACAAAGTTTATCGACAGGTTGTAGGTATTCCTATGGGCACTAATTGCACCCCTTTAATAGCAGACTTGTTTTTATACTGTTATGAATCACAGGTTATGACCAAACTCAGTAAAGACCCGTCTAAATTGCATTTAATTGATAAATTCAACAACACTTACCGTTATCTTGATGATATTTTTTCGTTAAATCATCATGAATTTTCTCAATATACTGCGGAAGTTTACCCAAAGGAACTTACTTTAAATCAATCAAATTTAAACGGTAATAACTGTCCTTTCCTAGATTTAGATATTTCGGTTTTAAACGGGAAACTCCACACTAAAATTTACGACAAAAGGGACGATTTTTCGTTCCCTATTGTTAATTTTCCCTTTTTGGATGTCGATGTTCCTTTGTCACCAACTTTCGGAGTTTATATTTCACAACTCGCTCGCTATGCCCGTGTCTGTTGTGACGTTTTTGATGTTAACGAACGTAATCTATGTATTACTAGTAAATTATTAAGCCAGGGATTTCGTTACCACAAATTACTTAAAACCTTTACTAAATTCCTCCATAGATATAAAGATTTGATTTTGAGGTTTCTGTTGTACCTGTAGAAAACTTATATCAAACGGGATAGCACATCCTCATTTTTACGGAAATGTTGTTTACCGTGCCCGGAAATTTAGAAACGATCCTGGTAAACTAATTGATCCTTTAAATAAACTTATCCTAAAAGGTTACCAATTCAACACTGTAGTTAGATCACTGAATATTGTTTTCACTGGTATTAATATTGATTTTGTTATCAGTAAATTAAAAGCAAACTAAATATTATTGTTAAATACATATATACATTCATGGATCTACAATCTGTCCAAACCTATATCTTGGCATTGCACAAGGTCATGTTTTTCTCTGACTGTTTATGACGTCTTTACACTAAATCCATTGGATGTTGGATGTGTACTGAATGATAATTAAGTCTTAGATGCATGATTTTTTTTATTAATTGTTGGTGGCTTTGAACTAGCTGTCAGTAACTGCGAGTACTCTCAGATCTGTACTTAGAGTCTTTTTGTTGTTGGGATGTACAAGTACCCTCTACGTCCACTTGTATTTGTAGTATTTGTATTTTTATCCATCTGATGAGTTAAGCCTTTTCAACTGATTTTTATAGTTCGTTCTTATGTTGTACTGTTACATCACTGTCCCAGGTTAGGGGGAGGGTTGGGATCCCGCTAACATGTTTAACCCCGCCACATTCTCTATGTATGTGTCTGTCCCAAGTCAGGAGCCTGTAATTCAGTGGTTGTCGTTTGTTTATGTGTTACATATTTGTTTTTTGTTCATTTTTTGTGTATAAATTAGGCCGTTAGTTTTCTCGTTTGAATTGTATTACATTGTTATTTTTGGGGCCTTTTATAGCTGACTATGCGGTATGAGCTTTGCTCATTGTTAAAGGCCTCACGGTGACCTATAGTTGTTAATTTCTGTGTCATTTTGGTCTCTTCTGGAGAGTTGTCTCATTGGCAATCATACCACATCTTCTTTTATTATATGGTTGTAAATTTTGTTCTTTTTTTACATTTCATTGTCCGTTGCTCTTCATTCTATAAGTATTTAATGTCAATTTTCCATCGACGTTTACAGTATTTTGAAGATTTATAATCATAACAATTAAATGAGTGATCTTACATGCACAAACGTACCGTGTTGATGTCCTTGCTCAAACAGTTGCTGAGCAGGCTTGAAATCGTAGTGAAATGTTAGCCTTTGATTCATATTTTAGACCCCACAGTAAATTTGAGGTGAGGGCAAAACTTACAGCGACTAACTTTTACGATTAAGCAATTCATTGCATTTACCAATACTTCTTTTGTCGACTCAATTTTTATAAACTGTCATCTGATCTGTCATCAATGATAATTATTAACAACGATAGTGTACTTAATATTTTTGTAGAACATTTAAAAATTAGTAGAGATATGACTGTGATTGGTTTTAAGTAATTGTACCTTTATTTGATGATTCTTGCTATTTAAGAAAAAACCATTTCCGAAGAGTCAAAACAACGTTTTAAAAATGTCACAAAAAGCTGCCTTCAGGAACATACAGAGTATATAAAAGACCAGTTAGAAATTAAAAAGACGCTGGATATAATGCTAGAATATAATGTCATAACGGTCAGAGACCATGACGATATTCAAGCTGCTAAAGGTCGTAGGAAAAAGGTCGAAACGTTCATCAACTGTGTGTTTGGAAAAGCGCAAGTTGATTGGATCCCAAAATTTCTGTATGTATTGGATCATGAGGGATATTCAAATTTAGCCGACCAATTAACAAGAACACGACCTATTTCACCTATTCAAGGCAAGTTTGATATTATAAGTTTCGAACGAAAGATCTCCCATTTTGTTATTAATTTTTGGATCGATAAATAGATACCCAGTTTAGCAATATGATTATATTTTATACAATATGTCCAAATGGGTAAATATAGTCTGGGAAAAACACTTTTATTTACTTCAACAATAAAAACATATATTTAAAAAAAAATGCTATCTTAACCTTTTTTAGCCTGAATCATAAATTATTATCAGGAATCATTACTATGTGCTTCGCGATCGGCAAATATTTACCGTTTAGCTACATTTTATTGTTGTAAATATAATGGAATTGTATGCGACTATCGTACACATATGATACAAGTGAGAGAATTAGCTAGCTACAAAAACAGGTAGAATTCACCATTTTATACATAAGAAAATGCATGTACCAAGTTAGCAATGTGATAGTTGTTATCCATTCGTTTGATATGTTATGAGCTTTTAATAAGGCACTTTCTATTTTGAATTTTACCCGGAGTTCAGTTCATTTGTTATTTTACTTTTTAACATATGTTTTGCAGCTGAAGAGTAAAGGTTGTTAGGCTTCTTCTTTCTAATTGCCGATTATTTAAATGATTAATATCTATAATACACTAAATATTTCGGGCACACATATCTCCATTCATGCTACTGAATTACCCATTTTCATGTTATCGTCACTGATAAAAGATAATAAGTAAAAAAAAGTTAATATCAAATTAAGTTTCTAGAGTCTTTGCGTTATAACACTTGACATTTCTATCTCATTGATGTTGTTGTCATCTGTCCTTTCATTTAACAACAATCAATATATCCGTTTATTGATATTTTTTTTGTATTTTGATTATTAGTTCATGTATTTCTTATTTCTATATAAAAGTGTCAAACGTAACTGTAGTTATTATTGACATGTATTGATAGATCTCTACATTCCACATGGACAAACACGGAGATTAACTGCCCGAGTGAGAGCGCTTCCAGAAAACACAGAAAGACACTTGCTTGAAAATGATGGTGTTCTTGTAGACGCAGCTGTTCAATCTGTATTTAGCAGCCCTCTTCTTAATTTGAGAGAGGGGTCGATATATCTCTTACTCAACATTTCAAAAGACAAATCATTTGAAATGCGACATACAGCAACCAAAACGATGACATCCTTGGTACGGAAGATGCTGCAAAGTGAAAAATTAAAAGACAGCATTACAGAGAAAACTTTTGTTCTGGTAGAAATTGAAGAAACTGATGAAGATGCATTTCTAAATGAGACATTTGGTAAGCGATATCTACTACATGTAGGTGAACATTTAATGTGAAAAAAACTTGCTTTTCTGTTTAAACTGTATTTTGTCCTTAAAATACGTTGGTTTTCTGGTTTGAATTGATTTACCCTGGTAGTTTTTGGGGCCCTTTATAGCTTGCTGTTTGGTGTGAGCCAAGGTTCTGAGTTAAAGACCGTACCTTGACCTATAATGGTTTTTCTTTTACAAATTGTGACTTAGATGGAGAGTTGTCTCATTGTCACGCATACCGCATCTTCTTATATCTTCTTAAAATATATCTTATTTATCTTTTACTTGTTCTCGCCTGGTTCCTCTTATCTAACATACTATCTGTCTTATTAGTAATTAGCGTGTTGTTATGATTGTTTAATTATTATATATTACACATATGAATTGAACATGTTTGTTGTGTTACTGCGATAACTACAGCGGGATTCAGATCTATACTCTCTTTAGAACTTTCTGAATAGTATGTCATTTAACTGTTCTAATCGGTTAAGACCGTTCAACTTAGGAAAAACCTAGGGTATTATTGGCAGAACCTTTCATATGTCAAACTACGTTGTTGGCTAGAGCTTTGAAAAACATGGTTAGTTGAAGTGTGTTGATTAGTTTTAAGATCAATACCGATTGTTTTTCTATTATTTTTATCAACCCAAGATGGCGGAAGACATCAGATCTGCCTTACATCGTATATCACTGTCTGTTTTTTTATGTAGATGAAGAGCTGGTTTTGACAAGTGTTGGACCACAGTATGAAAAAGAATGTTCCAGTAAGTAACATATCAGACATGTGATAGTTTTAAAGTTGATTAAGACATCTCTAAGATTGTTTTTTTGTAATTGCAAATATGATTAATACTGAACTTTGTAAAATGTTGTAAATATAGAGGTAAAATACCGAATTTCATTTTAAACGTAAAAAAAGAGGGACAGAATATACTGAAACTGAACTTGACATCTTTATAAAAGAGGGACGAAAGATACCAGATGGACAGTCAAACTCATAGATTGAAAATAAACTTATAACATTCACATACAATAAAAAGAATAAAAGAAAATATAGATTAACTGTTGGACGTTATGGATTTTTTTTTCAAACTTCAAATTTTTCGACTTCAGGCAAGATTACCTTAGCTGTATTTTGCGGAAACTTTCGGATTTGGGGTCTTTAAAAATCGTAAATTTTATACTTTATTTTGTTTTTTTTACCTTTTTTGGTTGGAGCCTCACTGATCGCAGAGCTTTTGTAGACAAAACACGCTTCTGGAGAACCAAAACCACCAGAAGTCAGCACTTCCGTGTATGTTGGCATAAGTTATCATTGATTATGTCATAATTATAAATGATAAATTAACTGTTTAACATATTTTCTTCGAAATACTAATGATTGTTTATCGTAGCTGTATTTTGCAAAACCTTTCAGAATTAATGGTTCTCAAAGCTTTACAACTACGTTCTTTATTTTGTCTATTTTATTTTTATCGGAGCGTCACTGATGAGTCTTTGATAGGCGAAACGTGCGTCTGCCGTACAAAATTTTAATCCTGGTGTATATGATGATTTTATTTGTGATTCATCAGTCATTGCTTTGTCTAATGGTTTTAAGATTAAACTTGAAACTGTGTTTGTTGTTCAGATATACATTTATATATTGTCAGTGTACGTTAAAATGAATCTGGTAAACTACTGCATATTTCAGGATGCATACAAAAGACCATTATAGATAACTATGATTTTATATTGGATGAGATTGAAACTGATGCTATTACAGAAACCTTGAATAAGGCGGAAATTGTGCCTGATTTTATTCGACACAAGTGTATAGACAATATGGGTAGTATATCAAGAACACAAAGAGTTGGTATTTTTCTACAATACGTTCTTACACGAGAAAGTATGCTTAAAACATTCATGCACGTGTTAGTTAATCAGGAGATAGATGTGGAGAGAAAAATGTGCTCTGAATGTAGTGGAATACATGTAAAGCGTAAGTGACGGAAGTTATATATGCACTTACATTAAAGAAATTAAACTTTCTAGAGTAAATTTAGTTACTAAAATGAAATACTAATGGAATATTCAACATATACACTGTAGATTTGATGTACCAGCCTTGTTGGTCATATATTATTATAGATTGTTTCATCAGCATAAACCCTAAGGGAACACTGTTTTATAACTTTGGAAAGGAGTATTAGTATTTGTTGTAACATATGTTATCGGAAAATGGTTTTTGAAAATCCGTAATGGCAAATTAGATTTCAATCAAACTATTCGAAAAATGTAAATTCTTGAATTTAATAGATAGTTTTCAAAACAAGAAAAATTAGAACATGTGCTAGTGTATTTGTTTTTGTTAAGATAGAAACGTTCACGAACGAAATCATTTGATACATATGAGTTCAACACGCTTCTCTTTGATTACCCTTAGAAGGAACGATCTAACCACACACAATAGAATGACAGTGATATCAAAGTATATGAATACATCATTTACATGAGAAGCTGCTATGTGATTTTGACCACAAGTTTCAAATCAAGATAAATAGCCAAATTTATTTACGATCATGTTTATCCGAGGGAATTCGAATCTGTGTTTCTCATTGCAAATGAATCATAAGTCTTATAAAAGTTTTTTAAAATCTCATATACTTGACACATACGTGAAGTTAGTAAATCAAAGGATTTGTATTATTGACAAGATCGACATAGTTCCATTGTTTTAACTCTTAAAATCATTATTTTAAAGATTCGTTTGGAGACAAACAGAAAAAAAGAACATTTCAATTCCAAATAGAGAAAGATGAATATGGTAAGAAAGTGAAATAAAAATTCGTTCTGCCTTAGCGCTTTTCTTGATTTACCGACACCATGATCATTCAAATAAAATAATGAAGGTCAATAATGTATTAAGTAGTCAAACACGAGTAGATATATGTGAAGAAATGGACCTTAAATACTAGCAAGATACGTCTAGGTAAAGTTTGTCTGAGGTAACTGAAATTATTTATTATTATTCAGAACCATAAGAACATCATACTATTTTCGTTACAATAAAAAGTTATAAATGGATGTTTGATATTACTTAACATTATGTTATATTTTCTGAAACATGAAACCCGCTGATGGGGTCTTGAATTGAAAATAATGAAAAGTATTTTGTGGTCAGATAGGATGATAAAATTCTTATTTACCGTAATTATGAACACGGAGATGAACGTTGCCCATAATTGATATCTGCATTTGTGTACCAGCTGAGCATTTTAACTTTAAAAGGTGACCAATTTATGATATCTTTGAACATTGTTTATATCGCTATAAAACATATTTTGGTATCAGTAGATTAAAAACATACTTGATATTATTGTTATACGCACATGCACTTTTACGGTACTACGATCTGTCGATATCTTTTGAAATTGCGGAAGATCAAGTTTTTCTCTGACTGTTAATGACGTCTTTACACTTAATACATTGGTAGTTGTATGTGTAGTGATTGATATTCTAATCTTAGATACATGACGTTATAATTTAAGGAATGAAAGTCCGCATATTCAAATAATTATTATGTACTCGGTGCAATGTTTAAGTACTACCTTAAATACGAATAGTTGTTATGCAGTTATTGATTTATATATATCTTTCTATGTTCATGCGGGCTCCATACACATTTGTTATCATTTTATTTAAAATCCATCGATATGTGCAACAAAGACAAGTCATTATCAATTATATTTAATAAAAGCAGATTTCTTACAATTGTACATTCTTATCTACAGGGGAAATTATCGTGCAGTTCAAAGATACATTTCATGAACCTGGTGAACATGGTAAAGTAGAATTAGGGTAAGTGATTTTACATTTGTTGTTTTATTTTCTATAAACGTTTTGATGTACTCGTACTAGTAAATTACATGGTATGAAGTCAACCAGCATCATGATATGAATAGAATTAAAAATTAATTCTTACCTTTATTTTTATCTCTTTGCAAAACTAATAGCCAGAATATCAGTGTTAATGAAATATATAACTTCGCGATTGTGAGATGATATGTTGGACACAGTGTCAAAGCGTATATGCTGAATGGCATACCTTTTTAATTAACATAATCAGATAATTAATTTACTATTTGTAGACATGGTAAAGCAGAAGAACATGCACCAATAGAAGTGACAGTTGTGGCAGCTATTGACATCGGGACGAGCTATTCAGGATATGCATATTCAACTGTAAAAGCCTACCAAACTGATCACTTAGATATAACATGTAATCAATCATGGAGTTCTGGAGGGAAACAGCTTATTTCGTCTAAAACTCCTTCTTGTATTCTTATGACAAAAGGAAAAGAATTAGTTTCCTTTGGCTACGACGCAGAAAAAGAGTATGAAAATATAATTGCCGAAGGAAACGAAGAAAGTTATTACTTCTTCGACAAATTCAAAATGGCTCTTCATAAAACAAAGGTAATTATTGACCACCCTTTTAATTTGTTTACAAGAATGTGTAGCCATTGACAAACGCAAGATTGCCCTTATTATTTTAATAACTTATTGATGGATTGATTAACTGAAATTAAGGTTTCTTATCATTTAAATATTATATTCTCTATTGTAATAATTTGACATACGAAAACCACCCAATTCACATGTCTGAAATCCAATTAAACTGTACCTAATGTCATTGGTTTGTAACAATATTTATAACTTTCTTTAACTCGAACAAAACTTTTTTTCATTCCCAAGCACACAATTTATTACCTGTATGATTAATGTATACGAGTATGCAAATAACCTAATGTATTTAAAAATACATACCAAACAGTCAAATATTTTTGTACAATCGTACATTGTATATTTTCTTCATATTATGTTTAATTCTGTCATTTAGCTTGAACCTGAACAGATTGAAATCAGAGATGTTCATGACCATGCAGTTGCAGCCATAGATGTATTTGCATTGGCTATTAAGGCTTTGAAAGAGGATCTTGAACAGCACTTAATTGAAAGAATAGAATTTTCTCGTGAGAAAATTCGCTGGGTTCTAACAGTGCCAGGTTTAAGAGATTTCAATGCTGAAGAATTCATGAAAATATGTGCAGAAAAGGTTTGTCAATTTTCATGATTCTATACATTTTATGTTGCTATGTAGCTGAACGTAGTGAAGGGGGAATTCAGTTTTACCCATATCCGTACATTCGTACGTCCCTAATTGGTTTCACAAACACAATGCTTATAACAACAAAACACAGATCAAGTTTAGATTATGGGTTTCATCACTTATACCTTTCTAAATTTGTGCCCTTTACAAATGGTAAAGTATGCTTAATTTTTCGTTTCCTTTTTTAACCTAGATTCACATTAACCAAACGTTATAAATCTTATACACAAAACTTATTTCCACAAATTACAGATCAAGTTGGCGTCACTTTCATCGTTCTAGATTAATGCCCCTTTACAAATGAAAAAAGGCTGTTTTCTAACTTAAGTTTGCACCGACCAAATATTGGTATGAAACTTATACAACATGCTCATTACTACAATATACAGATCAATTTTGAATTAAGATGGCGTAACTTTTGTTTTTACTTTACAAAAAGTTTGCCTTAACCAAGTGTTATGAAAAAGAGGAGCGAAAGATACCAGAGGGACAGTCAATCTCATAGATCGAAAATAAACTGACAACGCCATGATTAAAAAGAAAAAGACAAACAGACAAATAATAGTACATCATGCTTATTACCACAACAATCATATCAAGTCAGAATTTTTGTAGCGACACTTTTACCGTTCATGAATTATGTATCTTTATAACTTTATATGCAAGTGGGTGTATCATCTGGACACATTCCCAACTGTTTTCATGTATAAGTTTATACATCCATGTTTCAAAATTGCTTAGGTTAACTTATATTCTATATTCTAAAAACGTACCTGATATTCTTTCGAGTACATATGTTAAGTAATCACATAATGTACATAATTTAAATAAAAAATTAGTTGAATTCATTTTCGACAAATTTTTCTAATCCAAACGTAATATAATGTTCCTTTTTAATTCCAGGTAGGCATTAGAAGAGAACAACTGACAATAGCAATGGAACCAGAGGCAGCGTCAATCTTTTACTTATACAAAAGTATGAGAGAAAAACCTAAAATGGACAATAAGTACATGGTTATTGATGTAGGAGGTGAGTTAACGTGAACATTCAATTGATGGTTCCATAAATTGTTCTTAGTCATATTGGTCTTGTTGGTTTTTAGTATTTCCAGAATATAAAATACAAATTTCTATGTGAAAGTTTTTTGTTATTGTTTGTTACATGTAATGTTGAGGAAAACTTCAGACTGTAAAATCATAATTCCATTTGATCGAAAAATGTTATCGAATTAAATTTGAAATACATCTGAGAGGCTATATCTGTCGAAATATTTTTTTGTATAAGTCAACTTCCGGTCCAAGTCGAGATGAATAACTATATATTGTTTTTGTTTCAGGAGGAACCTTTGATGTGAGTGTACACGAGGTTTTAAACGAAAATCATCTACGTCAACTCTGTTCGCCTTCCGGTGGACCCTATGGTGGCACAACTGCAAATAAACATTTTTTGAAGATATTGACAGAAATAGTAGGCCCAGATGTCATGAAATCACTAAAAACGGAGCATTCAGGAAGCTATCTTGAACTAATGAGAGAGTTTGATTGCGCTAAACGTGTAAAGCTATCGAAACATAATAGAAAAACAATCAATTTTACGTTCCCTATAACAATATTTAATCGGTTATGTAATCGTTATTACCACCGTCATTTTCAACAAATGATAAAGGAATCTAAACACAAAAATAATATCTCAATAGTTGGGGACAAGTTACGAATAGCTAAAGAAACAATGTATTCATTTTTCGTTACGTCTGTTCAGCAAATAGTTAAAGAAATAGACACAGTCTTAAGAATTGTGGACGGTGAAGTGAAAAATATACTGTTAGTTGGCGGTTTTGCTGAATCTGAAATATTACAAGACAAGATTAGGAAATCGTTTCCTGAGAAAGTTCTAGTAGTATTTGAAGAATCTGATCTGATTGTTCTAAAAGGAGCAGTCCTATTTGGTCATCAACAACATATTATTGACAGAATTATATAACAATGGTGTATGATATATTGAGATATAAAACGAAATAAAAGATATGTTGGAAACTTTTTGTCTAAAACACACAACAAATAAAAGACTTAATGTTTAAACAGATATGATTACATCATGTACATATAACGCAGACATATTCATACGGAATACATGCAGAAAATAAGTAACAGCATCATATGGATATTTAACTCTATGCTCAGAGTATACGGTAGTGTTTCAATGTATTGCTAATGAAATTATCGCACTTTATTTTAATAATTTCTACAAAAAGTCGGCACTCCTATCACTTGTAAATTTTATTTCAAAACAATCATATCAATATAAACAGTTCCTCATAATCTGATAAAATAAATTTCCAATCTTTTAGTCATTTTCAAAATTATCTATTGCGGCTAGTTCAGACAATTCCATATCAGTTAATTCAGATATGTGCATCCAATGTTCAGACTTTTCAGTAGTTATTGACTACCTGTGAATAAAGTATCATCCTGAATTGTCTACAAGCGATTGTCTGAATAGTACTGTACATTCTTTTGAAAGACTGAACACGACTGAATAGTTTTTTAAGACTTTTCAGGTACTATAAAGATCAATAAGACCTTTTATGACTAAAATTCATTTAGTAATGTACGGATATTAAATATGGAATTGAGAAAGGAGACGGGGAATGCGTCAATTAGACAACCACTCGACCAAAACAAAGAAAATAGCCCAAGGAAACAAAATCGGTCTCAACGCACCATAACATCACGCACATAGAGGCAAGCTTCAGCTTGCCCCGTAACAATCAGTTATACGAGTTAACGGAAATGGACGCCACAATAAACTCCGAAGAATAAAAATGGTTAAAAATAAAAAAAATGGAGACGTTTGGCGGAAATTTTTGAGAAAATATGTGAATTTTGTTCAAAATTGATAAAAGTATCGAAAAATTACAAAAATCGGAAACGAGTATCATTTTGGGTTTTATAAATGCAGATACATGTTAGTTTTAAATTCTAGATACGGTGCTTCTTAAAAAATGTATCACGTTAGGTTATTTGGAAAATAGAAACATCGCAAAATATAAAAAGAAAGGGTTAACTGAATCGAGGATTTTGAATATGATAAAACATGAAATGCAATTTTTGTTCAAATCTCTTAAATCAAACACGAAAAATGATGCTTTTTCTACTGTGTGTGAGACTTATTGTATATAACTATATATTGTTGCGTGGTCAGGCCAGTCAATGACCGATTCAATACTGATAAATTATCATATACATTGCGCACAACTCCCTTTGTGTACTTTGAAATTTCTATTGTGTATGTAAATTATGTATATTATATACTTGTAACAAGGACATGTTTTATTATAAGCAAAAATTTACTCACCATATCTTTGAAATAAGTTCTATTTGGTAAATAAAAAAATCATAAATCCAACTTTTATGAATGAATTACGCATTTCCTTTCACTTAACTTTTAACGAGTAGCACGTGGCAAAAGATCACTCACCCCGAAATTGAATGTAATAGAAATTAACATAACAAACGAACTGATTGAAGTGCTATAAAATTGAAACTGACAAATAAATACAGGTAGCTGTTGTGAGAAAAAAAAATGCAGATAGAATGAATTCTTATTTCAAATGATTATATATGGTGAGTTGTATAAATATACAAATAGAGGATAATTACATGTACATTTGTATATATACGTACATAGATAGCTGATAATTATTTATAATGGGGGTGTAATCCATCATTTGCTTTTTCACCGACAACCGAGACTGTAAAAAATTGGGGCCCCTTAGTTGCTTCCCTGGGCAATGTTGGGTTGATGTTACAGATGATGAACTAATAAAATAGGTTGAAAATTAAACAAAAAGAAAAGAAATTAAAAAAAAAAAACGCACCAGACAAACAAAGACTGAAGTTCCTGTATTGGGACATGCGTCTAAATACAGTGGGGACAAACATGTGGCCTGTGAATTTATAATCCATTGGATCAATGATTGGTTTCATCATTTGTGGAATTTGTCGTTGTTATACGACCGCACACATTTCTCGGCCGTATAATGGTGTGACGTCGTCGTCGTCGTCGTTGTAGTAGTTGTCCTTGTCAAGAATCATTTAGTTTTAAGACCAAGACTTAAGTATAAGCGTATGGATAATTATGAAATTGTACCACATAATTTAAAACTACAAAAGGACGGTTTTGATCATTTCTAATACTGAGTATAAATTGCTTATTTCTTGACCAGTTTCAATGGGGGTATATGCAAAGTCACGAATTTTTGGGGTTCTTTAATAAGCTAAATACAATTGTGTCTTTAGATTCATGATTTAAGGCCCCGTTCTTACATAGGTCCAAATTGAGGTCAAAAGGGTCCAATATTTAAAATTGTTTCGGTATCAAAAATTCAATTCATGGGGTGCTTTGATATGCCGAATTAAACCCTGTGTTAAGAAATTTGATATTTGAAAATAATAAGTAAATTGTCAAATGAAATCTTGGACCACATTCACTCCGTGTCAAAAACCTATGCTGTGTCAAATATATAATCACAATCCAAATTCAGAGATGAATAAAGCTTGAATGTTTTATCTATACTTGCTCAAATTCTTTTAGGGCCCAATTTATGGGTCATATCAAATTGCGCCCTTCGGAACATTTTAGTAGAATATATCTGAAATACTTACGAAAATAGATTGCAATTTTTAAAGAAATCGTTAGACTTAAACAGTACAAGATCTTGTTCAGGTCGTTCTCGAATTTGGAACCGCCTCTTATAGGCATCAATTGTTTTTATTTGAAAATACAATTTGTATGCACATTTACGGATGTAGTCAATTCAAATTTAAAATCAGATAGAAGTGTTAGTATGTTATTAATCATATATAAGATTTAGAGTCGAATCTGTGGACAGGAATTTGACAGTTAACGTTCCTTTAAATGAAGTTTTGTATAGGATAAGAGAGCAATAACAATTTTGACATGTTTGATACACTGCAACCATGTGTTGTTTATCCATGTACATATATTCGTATATTATCGATTCTGTGTACTTCTATGTTCGAAACCATATTATGGATTGAGAGTGCTGCAGTCTCATGATACAGTTAAACCAGAGTTTGAAAACAAAACATGCAGTATATTATATTTCAAATATGCCCCCCCCCCCCCCTTTTTTTTTTATCAAAAACCCAACATGATCAGAGAAAAATAGAGAAATGAAAAAAAATATGATACGGAAAAATAAATACTTAGCATGAAACTAAGAAAATGTTGTAAACTGCTTGACCTATATTTCTATACCCTTTATATTTGTTTTCAATTTGCTAGGTCAATTTTCATTTACAATGCTTATCACGCGCACACGTCTGGAATTAGCAGGGAGGAACTATAGTGTTTTGACATTTTATATGTGTTTATATTATCTCCTATCAATTAACGGATTATTAATACTACGCAGTTTTTAACCTACAGCAGAGATTCTAAATGTGTGATTGATCGTTCCTGTGGAAATTTCATTTATGCAACAACACTTTAGTGTTCCTCTTGTTTCTTTGTTTTCCTCTTATAGTTTATGTATTTCGCTCGGTTTTGGTTTTCTCTCTATCGATTTATGGCTTTGAACACCGGTATTCTACTGTTGCCTTTATTAACCGATTTTCATTTTTAATCAATCAATTTGGAAGATTTAAATCAGAGACAGAACGGGTCAACATTATAGGGCAATATGAACAAGTGTATAGCAATTGAACTTGTATCATGTTATATATATTTATCCATTAAGATATACGACTGTCCGACGGTAAAGTGAGCCCTGCAGTGTGCATCATTTTCTGCAGTCTCTATAACTACATCTTGTCCAACTCTTTCTGTCATTCCCTGTATTGTAAATGCATAGCATTATAATAGGTATTTTGATTGTGAAAGGGCAGACTATTTTAAAAATGAAACAGAATCTGTCAATCATTTTAAGCACATTAGTTCACACTTCACTTTAATACACATTCCTAAAATTCAGTATTTACTTGGTATTGATTATAAATTAGATTTTTTTTTGTGTTTCAACCGTCATGTTGCAGATTTGAGGAATTTTTCATAAACTTATGTGAAATCCGCCTTGAACAACAGTATACCCAGTAACATTAGAAAACATCGATTAAATATGAAGTGTGAACTCTTTAAAAAAAAGTAGTATTACTGCTATTTGTCAAATATTCATTTTATTTCAATCAACACAATCAATAAAGTATTTGCAGATACAATTTATCTACATTAGAAAATTTTATTTGTTCAAAATATATATTTGAATATATATTGCATTTATTTCATGAAACTGACATTTCAATATCTCTTAATAATCTCTACACATTCAACTGAACAAAAAACTACTCCTTCCAGGAATTTTTCTTTAACCGGATATTCCTAAAGTAGCTGAAAAAATCATCTAAATAAAGTAGATATCTTCAAGATAGTTCTAGAGGCAGATTGAAAGGAATTTAACACACAACTCATTCTAGAGTATCATTGTCGAAAAGAAAGGTCAACAATGATGGATCTTTATAGTCCATTAGCAAAGGTATTAACATACACAACACCTGAACATGAAGTATCAGACACCCTCTTTAATATGTATTCTGCAATCTGATCTTTCAATACGCACATCTTTAGATTTGTTATTGACCTTATACACAGGCTGGCAGGATGTAACACAAAGATTTGCATTGCTCGTCATTCCAGTGATATATGTGTTATCATTGTACGCACACTTTCTTTACGCGCAATCTTTAAAAAAATAAATTTGCAATACAAAAAACTCCTCATCCCATTCTACAATTCTAAATTAGGCTAGTGTAATAAATTAAAAAGTATTATCGTTTGCAGATTCTTACCTATTTTGTTAACATTTTTTCCAAATCGTTTTTGTGCGATGTAATTATATGAACCTTTTTCTATTAGACGTGTTAATAAAAACGACAACTCTTTTGCGACTGTCATACAAGTGAGAGGTTTAGCTATCTATACAACCAAGTGTAACCTACCATTGTCTACATGATAAAATGCCTACCTAGTCAGGTATATGACAGTTGTTATCTATTCATGTTAAAATTTTTGAATTTACCATTTGATTCTGAACTTTTTGTTTTAAATTTCCGCGGAAATCTGTATTTTTGTTATTTTACTTTTTCTGAAATTTTTCAAGGGCAAACATTCATTGTATATACTGTTTTAACTTTGGATTATATTTTAAAACACACAAACGGAAACGTGTTGGCCATAATAGAGCAATTGAAACGCAAATTTCGAGATATTTTGTTTTATTGAGCAAAGTTCAAAAACAAAAAAAATAAAAAGATGAACCAAAAAAAATAAAAAAAACATAAAAAAAACAAGGCAATTAAAAAAAGGATTGTTTCATTGGCAATCATACCACATCTTCTTATTTTTATATTCTACAGTTGGGAGCAGACCAAGCATTACATGTAGACGGGCGGAAAAAGTTAACGCAGCGTTTACTAGCGTGCACTTCATACAAACGCCGCGTTAACTGTGCATTAACTCCGAAATTTCAGTAGACATAAAAAGTAAACGAGCGTTCACTTTCGCGTTCACTCCGCGATAACGAAAACACGGCGCGTCTTCTAATTTTGTAAAGAGTAAACGGGGCGTTTACTTCCGCGTTAACATGGAAAAGGGCGCGTCTCCAATTTTCGTCAAAAGTAAGCACGTTTAGATTTTAAATTATTGAAAAGACCAATAAATATAAAGAATAACTTTTCAAATAATGCAAATATATGACGATTCAGGAGACAACAAGAATGTGTCCATAGTACACGGATGCCCCACTCGCACTATCATTTTCTCTGTTCAGTGAACCGTGAAATTGGGGTCAAAATTCTAATTTGGAAATTAAATTAGAAAGATCATATCATAGGGAACATGTGTACTAAGTTTCTAGTTGATTGGACTTCAACTTCATCAAAAACTACATTGACTAAAAACTTTAACCTGAAGCGGGACAGACGAACGGACGAACGAACGGAACAGACGGACGAACGGACCAACAGATCAGAAAACATAATTCCCCTCTACTATCGTAGGTGGGGCATAAAAATTAAAGTTAGATTTGTCATTTAAATTCACTGGTGCTTTGTTTTTTCTAACTATTCACATTTTATACTCCCATTTGTGCGAACTATTTTCAAGATCGTACACTGTCGATTGCCAACCTGTAACAAAAAACCTATTGGTTAAGTTGTTCTGATAATTAAGTTTAACCACTTAATATACTTTGGTACAACTAATAATATAGGTGAGATACACGTTACATTTACGCTTTTAAAATTAGATAAATAAATGTTTGATGTAATCTTCTTAATTACATTTAACCGTCAAATAGATAACGATTTATTAGCGTATGTTTTATTTGGAAAAACGTTTTATTAGCTAATGTTTTGTTTGAAAATATGTTTTATAAGTCTATGTTTTGTTCGGAAACATATGTCATTTCTATTTTAGTGTCTTCTGTGCAAATAACACGATCAATTATCCCTTGATTTATTTCCAATATTGAAATACGTAAGTTTGTATTTGCTTTATATTAATTCAATTGAGAAACATCAGTAGGATGATTAAAAAAGTAATACAATTGATAATTGCTCTAACATGGATGACAACTAGTGTACACAGTTGTTCATGTGGTGGGCAGCACCCTCAAGATGCATTTTGCTCAGCTGATTATGGTAAGTGTTCTAACATGTACATTAAGGATCATGATTAAACTTTTTTGTTGCGTACATGATTTGCATTTTTTTGCCATTTTAGTTCAAACAAAATTTAAATGAAATATTTTTTTCACTATTGAATTTCGTTTAAATGGTTTGTTTGTACTATATCACTTTGTCAAAATCATCCTACACTTTCCCTTTAAAAGAATCATATCAACCGAAATATTTTTCAAATATGAATATACTAAAATAACTTTAGACATGAAAACGTGATTATGTTTCAATTTTAAATAATGTGATGCCTATTCATTTGTTAATTTTGTATTGTCAATGATGTTGACCATTTGAGGTAAAGTGTCAGTTGTGATCCATTCGTTTAATGTGTTTGAGTTTTTGATTTTGCCATTTGATTACGTACTTTTTAAATTTTCCTCGGAGTTCGGTATTTTTGTTATTTTACTTTTTTCCCATCTTGCGCTTCTTTTTTGAAAGAATATTATATCCCTTAAAATGTGTTTCCGATCTAGTATTGTCATAACTGAATTGCAAAATTCGACTTATGAGTTTAAATGTCCTTTTGGTATCTTTCGCTTATCTTTTTGTTAGCGAAACATGCATTCATTATTTACTAGTTATCGAGCATTTTATTTAACATACCACTAGAACTTATTTGTTTTTATGAAAACAGTCAATTCATATCACAATGACTCGATTACACAAAAAAAGAAATACCCCATTCTTAGATCATATGACCTTTTTTGGAAGAGAAAGAAAGAATATGTCAAAAGGGTATTCAGACTCATATATATCGCAGACATATTCTGTGTATATACTCCATAACGGTATTACAACATATTTATTAAACTGTATATTTGTGAAATTAATAATGATGATGTTGATGTGAGGTTTCAACGACCCTGACTGGTTATACAGCCATTGCACGGTCGGTACTGGCTTGCGCCTTTGTGGGCATTTAAATAATTTGTATTTACCATATGGTAATTGAAATAAGTTGAGTGATAAATATAGAGAACCTAATATGAATACAAAGTAAAAATGAGCAAAAATTTGAAAAAAAAAATCTAAATAAAATAAATAGATTGATGAATAAAAAAAAAATGACGAAAATTAAATAGAACTTATTAATAAATAAAATAAGAGAATACAATAATAAAAATTTGTATAGAAACCAATGAAAAAGCCAAAAACAAATACAGGATTACACAAGCATAATTGCCGCTCAATACGGTATGAAACAATATGCATACTGGAAACAAATGCTTGCATACAACATTATGTACATATGTATATCCTTGATTTCATGGCCAAATATCCTTGGATATTGGTTTGACACAATTGTAATACTTATTTTACATGTCAGCAGTCAATGTCGATAAGCTGAATAATCCTTATTCTAGAAATAAGAAGATCTGGTGTGATAGTTAATTGTATAAATATCACCACTAATGATGTGGATGTAAGCAATAACATGCCACCATACGTCTTTCATTAAACATGTTAAATGCTCTGACGCGACAGACTGTGAATCTATTTATACGATATAACCATCGGATTGCGTTATGAAAATAAATTTACAGTTCACAAATATGTAAATTATTGTAGAGAGTATTTTTAACAGCGCTTACGTAATGAAAACATCACCCTCAGCGTTATACATTACAATGTCAATTCACCAATACAATCATTTAAAATTAAACATGAATTTTAGAGGAAATGACGTAAAATTAACACAAATAATTTCACATGTAAAAAGAAAGAATGGGGAAATGAGAACAAATCTAATTTGAATAACAGAAATGTATCATTCATATGCAAGTATACGTTATGAATTACTGATAAACCTACAACATTTTAAAAATAGACATGGTAAAATAAAAGAAAACAATTCTTATATGATTTGCATATTAGGGAATACGTTGATATGATTGGTCGAGAAGACTTCCGGTAGTTGATCTTGACGTTGTTTATGTTTCGATAGACGACGTTAACCGAACTTCTTTTCGTAACCAATGTAAACAAGATGTTTGCGATAATAACACCGACGCTAGCAAGTAATTTTTCACTGCACGTTAATCGTTAAATTGAATAATAAACACAAAAACATTCATTTGAATGAAAATAATAATTTTTGTAGTTTATTTTTTATCAGATAGCACATATTTTTGGGTTAACAAAAAAAATATATTTATGTGCAAGGCCTATTCAATGACACAAACATACAAATTACGTGTGACAGAGGCTACCAATGTGGAAAAATATATTCCTCATCTCCAATTTTAAAGAAATATAAGGATTAAACGCCTTTTTTAATATTTTATATTTTGCACTAATTTTGTACTGTACAGCTTTATTATAAAATAAAACGCCTTTTTAAAAGAGTTTATTGGTGTATAAACTGGACCAAGTCACCCACAAACATATTATAAAAGTCATGTGGACTTTTATTTGTTTGTAAGTGAATTAGTCGAGTTTATACACCAATGAATTCCTTTAAAAAGGCGTTTAATCCTATAATAAAGCTGTACAGTACAAAATTAGTGAAAAATATAAAAAGACAATAAGCTTTACACTTTTTCAGAACTATAAAAAAACATTTCTGAATAAATGAGCCTTTTGAAAAAAAAAAACTAGAAATGCAAAGCCTTTCACGCACACACACATACACAATAAGTTTGTATCGTTAACGGTAAGTTACAGGCAGCCAATGACTGGCGAATTAGAAATATGACGGACATCAATCAATACACTTACTAATACAGAGGCTCCTGTCTACGATGAGACGGCAGAACTATGCGATAGGCTAAATCCTAATTGTCTTGTTATTTATTCGAAAACCTAAGCCCTTAAACAAAAACAAAAAAACTTCCACATATACTTAGTGAGTTGTGATTTTATATCGCAATTTGTAGGAAATTGAAAATTTATGTAGTATTTTTTGTAAAAATATGTAATCCGCTTCAAAGTCGAATTTCACATGACATCGACTATAAATATATTCAACTCTTAATGATTGTTGTAAGATTTGTTTCTGTATCTGAAGTCTACTGAAGGTAAACCTATGAAGAAAAAAATAAAAAAATAAAAAAAAAAAAATAAAAAAATCGAGGATTTTTACTTAAAAGACGTCGTACTTTAAATTTGTTGTATTTACAAAATCATTTAACCTATCTATTGTTTAAATAAAGCAAAATTCTGACGCGTCATTTCAAGAAATTTCAATTAAGATATTTATTCATGATGTTTATAAGACGTTATCCGATATAAACATATGTATAAGAAACAGAAAAATTTCTACTTCGTCTATACATTTTACATAAACGATACTGTAATCTTCTTCTCTATTTTTATCTGTTATCTGTTTGTATGTATGATTATGTAGTAAATTCATCTATTGTTTTGCAAGAGCATCGTATGATTTACTATATCGTATGATCTTTCAGTATTCTATGGCAAAGTTATCAAGTATGATCTTATACCAGGTCCACCAGATGATTTCGCCAATAATTTTGCGACTTGGAATTATACATTTAAAATTATTTTCAAAATGAAGGTATGTATCAGTATTTAAATGAATGTCAAAATTTAAATGTTTTGAAAGTTTACATGGAATATGAAAACAAGAAAAGGATCCTAAATTTTAATGATACAACTCTCAACAAGACCAACTAACATAGACATCAATTCTGAATACGTCTGTTTAAAGGTTTTGTAGGCTTTTGAGATGAATGACAACATGTTTGTGCTTTGTGTAGAACATTATCACAAAACATTGGATGTGAGTTAACGGAAGATACAAGATGTCTGCATGTCGATTTATACATGATTTTACGAATGATGGCCTTCTTCTTATGATAAAGTTTAGTAATTGTTTTATCTAGTTTGAGATATTGAAAACCATGGTGTCATAATTTTCAGTAATACACAGATTTCTTTTGCTAAATCAAATAAATGTTTGCCTACACGAGCGAATCGAACTAGTGCAGATATATAAAAATCATCAGATGGTATCAAAAGAATGTCATCATATAAAAAAAAGAATATTAAACAATAGGAAATGACAAATAATTCTCTTTATCGTAAATGTTGGTATTAAGCTTCCCGTTAACGATATAGATATCAAAGATTCAGGAAAGAGTAGTGTTAATTGTAAGTTTTAGATTTTTACAAATATCAGCTTTTTAGTGTACACACAGAAGTCGTCATTATTGAGAGCCAATGTATCAACCAAATATCTAAAAACGTTATTTAAAAAATGCAAGTGCTGTTATCGTATCAACAGAGGTCTAATTGAAATTCTTTTTTGTTATTTGTTACCATTAAAAAAAATTGGCTTCAAAATTTGAAAATATGTATATGCATTCTGACTTTTTAAATGCCAATTTAAGTGGGTGTGTTTTGTTCCTAATGAGATTAAAAGGCAAAGTGGTATATAGGTAGATAAATCAAAATCTTGATTTGATATACTGCAAAAGTAATTAATTGCACTACTTTCATAGACCGTTTTTGCACTATTACTACAAGGTTTTTTATTGCGCCAAGTTATTTCAATAGTTTAGTAGTGAAACATGGTTGAAGACGAACTAAATCTATATTTGTAAGGTGTTTTGTGCAGCTACTGAAGCCAGTACATAGTGGGAACTTTCATTGTGTTTGGTTCTGTTTGCTGAGTCAGTTTGAATGCTGCTGAGTTCGTGATTTCTTTTTGCAGAATCATCTCAATGTTAAATGTACGAATGAAAGTAATGGCAGCTTTATCAGCAGGGACACACAAATATTCCTTAACGAGTTCCTTTAACTTATGTTTGGTACGAGAAATAGGGCTATAACGGTTGTTGTAAAATGTTTTTTTTTTAAATGTTATTTAAGAATATCAACTATAAAATTGAGAATGACAATGACGAATGTATAATAGAGACAATAACTTGACCAAAGGGAAAAACATCCGAATGCCACCAAGTGGTCTCCGGGGGTAGGCTTCAGCTGTCCCTTAATCAAAATGAGTTCAATGAAAATTAGCGTCACACCAAACTCCAACACACATATAAATCAACTAAAATTTAAAAAAATGAAAAACTAACAAAGGCTATGCAATTACTGAACCAAAAAAGTAAATATAAAGATGCATTTGCTTTTAGAAGACTATGAAATGTAAATATAAAAAAAATCACATCTTTTAAAATCCTTATAAACGACATATTTTCAATTATTTCAATCTGTATCAAAGAAAAATGAAATTTAATTATTTTCTAAAGAGCTTTAGAAAGTACTTGCTTGAACCAGGAATAAATCATTTTGCTATATATGCAAAAATTTCAATAGAATAATCAACAGAACACTACAAGATGAATGACCAAAAAAATCTAATCGATAGTAAATATCAAGTAAATTCGGAACGAACATCAATTAAAGTGAAATGTGAACTCAAGTGCTAAGAACGGTAGACAGTTTCAATTTCACTATGATAATAGTCTACTAATTACATGAATATACAATGCGTTGCATTTACAATAGGGAATCACTGAAAGAGTTGGACAAGATATTGCTGTAGATACAGCAGGAAATGAGGGGATCTGTGGTGTACGCTTTACTGTCGGAAAGTCTTATATCGTAATGGGTAAATACACTGTATAATACAATATGAATTGTTATAACTTGTACATAATATACTGCTACATGTATATAGCTATAACGTGGACTCGCACAATATATAATTAAACTAATAATAGTATGGTACGATACAAGGAGACAATCAAGAAAACAAGAGGACAAAGAAAACCGAAAAACACTAAGGTGTGAAAGGTTATTTATGAATAACGTAGGTACACGTTTATAATTGTGAAGTCCGATACTTGTTTTTCCTTGATACTGATTGACGAATACAACATAGGAGGTCTGATAAACGGTGACATGTTGTTGTTGTGTTGGATCTTCTGATACCAGAAACATGCTCTAATCTGTCTTCTTTTTCAAAATACATACATTTTGAACATCACTGGCAATGTACAAATGTGCGAATGAAAATCTTTAATTTTCAAGTGAACTGTGTACTCATAGCCACAACAACGGTATATATTAAAACACTGTGTAATTACAGTTTACCAAATTAAGTTCTAAGTACAATATTGAAAAAAATATAGATAAGTCAAAGGAGAAAGTTCCATTAGAAGATTGAACGCCACTGAAACAGGAGATTATAGTAGAGGTGGACGTTCCTTTTTAGTTAAAATGACATATTTTTATATTTAGAAAAATCAGCAAATAATTTCTTTTCTTTTTTTAAGGAAGAACAAGATCCGATGGAATGAAAGAGACTGATTCCTGCAGATTTATAAGTCAACTCAACAGTCTGTCACCATATCAATCGTTTTACCTGTTTACAAGAGGTTCTTATTCGTACAATAGAAACTGTAGAAGGAGATGCGTAAGTATTAAGTTTGATCTTACCTTGTACACACCATGATACATTTCTGGAAATATAATTGGTTAAAAGCGACCATATTGAGACATTGTATATCTAATATGGGGTTAATAGGCATGGTTTATTTCAAAACACGATAAGAAGTGATATGACGTCCCTTTAGAGAATTAACTGACACTATATATATATATATATCGTATTAGGTCACTAGCACACTGTATAACTTATAGTATACAGTCAGGAACCTGATGTTCAGTGGTTGTCATTTGTTGATGTGGTTCATACGTGTATCTCGGCTCTTATTTTTTATATATTGTACATTATGACCTTTTGTTTTCCTGTTTGAATAGTTTTACAGTAGTCATTGTAATGCCCTTTATAGATTGCTGTTATATGTGAGCCAAGGCTCCATGTTGAAGGCCGTACTTTGACCTTTAGCGGTTTACTTTTACAAATTGTGACTTGGATGGAAAGTTGTCTCATTGGGTCTCTTACCACCTCTTCTAATATCTGTGTTTGTGTTTCATTTTGCATTTTGTGGCAATATCTTAAACTATACTGAGCTAAGCTGAAGCTACATGTTCTTTACATCTTTATATTGATCAAATTTCATATCTTATTTTTTTATTCTTAGTAAGAGAATTTGTTTTATATTTCAAATGTTTGATATTTTCTAGATAATTTATTAAAGGGGCACTAGCTGTCAAATACACGTTAATCGATTTGACCCAAATAAATTCGATTTATAACAATGTACAACATTTATCCAAATTATAAAAGGTATAAAATAAACAATTTACAGGACATGGACTCGATAATATATAGCTTCGTTTATAGTGTATTTTAGTCTAGACACAATTTAATTAACTATCGAGTTGACCTCCGAAGCCCGCCGATGGTCGTATAAGCGATATAAACATTAATATATATATATATATAAATAGATATAGAACTCGTGCAATTGGATTTTTCTACGTCTGTTTGATTTTATATTACAGATTAAAAATATATGTTAATTATCGTTTTTACCTGTATAAGAATTAAGATTTTTGTTGATCGAACCAGTCAATCAAATGATTTACATTTGTGTAACTTTCAATGTTGACATTTGTTTTTCTATTGATAACCGGACACCGACACATGCGTTATCCATCTCTAGTTAAGGGGTTAAATTCAAGGTCACATGAATACGGTTTCTGTGATGTTGAAATATTCACTTGCAAGAGGAATACAAATGTAATTACATCGATGTTTGTAAGCTTACATGTATTTTGACAAAATTGAACCATACACGCTGCTAAATGCGAATTATTGTTTCACTATTTCACTTTTATTGAGGATTGAACAATGACATTAATTGTTCACTCTGGACAATCTAGGAGATTAAAAATAATGAATGCAGATATGTTCTGTGCATTGAATATCTTAGCACACAAGCTATCAATATTTATTTAGATAGACTGTGTTGTTTTTGGTCTAAATCATTTCTTTTTTTTTTAATCTTGACCATCATTGATAAATAGTACACACACGAATAAAAAAATCACATTACCGTCGTGTTCTATATTTCTAAAAGTAGAGATCGATTCCATTGAGAAGCACCTGCTTTAAACCATACAAAGTAGGAAATATTTGTGATATGACGTATAAAGACAGTGTTTTGTACTTCCTAAATTTGTCTTTTTTTCAGCAAAAACAGCCATTTATTTAGAAAATGTCCAAATTCGGAAACTTTTATCGATTCGTGTCTTATATACACTATATCGCGTTCGCAGTCGACGAGCTGCCCACGAAACTTAAACTTCTTTGTTTCAACACTTGCCCAATTAGACCGCGATTTCACAGGCATCTTTTAACGAATGACTATTATAACAAAAAATAACAAAACAACAATGCAAACGCCATAGAATTAAAGCCTTTACCGTTTAGGATGAGTTGCATTGACTGCTTTGTATTATTTAAAGGAATTGGAAATGTTGTCATTGCTCGGATCTTCTTAAGTTTAGCAGAGGGATTCACATTAATTAAATGAAAACAATATTCGATCATTTTGTTTTGTAAAATTGTCTGCTATACATCATGTACATTGATGCCCAAAAATCAAATATTTTGAACATATGAAAAACAAACGTACCTTACAGCTGTGTGTTTAAGCTGTTAATATATTTTTTATCTACACTATTAAAAAATGTTTTTGTTAATTCACAAACATAACACCAGTGCGATTATAATCAAATCAAATTATCATGAATATCATGAGCAACCAAACCAACAACGATTGAAAGCACGAAATCAAGAAAAAAAATTAGAAATTGAAATAGAGTAAATGTTGTATACAAAATATACCAAGAAAGTAATTTGATTAGATTCTTATTTATCATGCGTCGTACTAAAGAACTGAAGCAACTGAAGAATTCAAACATGCTAAAACCAATGGCATTATGTTTAAAGGTATTGAAAGGAGGCAATTATCACAGGACTGTATAAAAAAACTATTCAGGGGCACCAAAATGTGACTGCGATACAATTTATATTAAAAACATCATTTTTAACACACAGATAACAGGTGAATCGCAGACCAGACATAAAAGTTTGAAAATGTCTTACAGAACGACAGTTATATTAAATAAACGCTTTCTACTTTCAGAAAATTGGTCCAAAGTCAAAAGGATGCAGATATCAGCAGGAAAACGCAGATTTTACGACTACCAAATGCCTTGCTAACAAAGCGCTTTGTCAAAGAGAAAGACGGCGGTGCCGCTGGGTTAATAACGAAACCTGTAACCCTATTTATGTCATCACGCGGACTATTCAAATACAATCTGTCCGTGACAATCCATAACTTTTTTCTTGCAAACGTTTTAATGACAAGGAAATACAAATTGATTTTGAGTTCCTAAAATAGATCTTCCATTGAAAATTAAATGAAAACGTTTCTGGATAATAACTTTCTTTGTCTTAGTATAATTTGATTATGTTCATATTTACTTTATATATGGTTACAAGGTTAAACTAGGATAATTGGTTTTGAATTCAAAATGCAGGAATCAAGGTTAAGATTAATAGAAATAATTTGTTCGCTATGAAGCTTGCTTCCTAGCAATAACTTATATCATTAGGTTTACCTTGACAACATTTGATGACATTTATGGATATTTTACATATTGTTTTAGAGGAAATGACCTAGAGCATTGTTCTTTGTTTAGATTTGAGGTAGTCAGATTGTGTAAGTTTCTATTACGAAGAATAAAGATAACAAGGAACCGCAAAATTCAGCAGTCATTCAGTATATACTCTGTCTTAAATAGTTATGCCAATCAACATGAACAATAACTAAAGAACACTTCCATTAAATCAAAAGTTGTAAATAAAAAATAATATAATGTTTGGGTTGAATAAAGTAAAGGTTAGTATCAAATCCGATCTTTTTTGTTTGGTAACCAAAGCAGAGCGAAATGCATAATTATAGTATATGAATAGACTTGAAACTCAATCGGATATATGTATTCCATACATCTATTTGCATGTTTTGATACTGATTGTGAATTATTTTAGCAATTTTAGGTTGGTGGCTAAGGCTTTTTTCATGATATCGCCTTTAAACCATTTTTTTTTGTAAAATAAGTATAGCTTGCTGTTCGTTGTGAGACAAGGGTTCATGTTGAAGGCTGTACCTGGACCTATAATGGTTTTACCTTTTATAAATTGTTACTTGGATGGAGAGTTGTCCCATTGGCACTCATACCACATTTTCCTATATGTTTAGTTTTTTTTTGTGTTTTCAAACAAACAGTATTTATTATTGTCCGTTCAATTGCATTGATATAATAAATAGGCAAAATGTTGTTCAAAAACAAGTATGCTAGTGCCTGTCCCAAGTCATGAGCCTGTAATTCAGTGGTTGTCGTTTGTTTATGTGTTATATATTTGTTTTTCGTTCATTTTTTGTACATAAATAAGGCCATTAGTTTTCTCGTTTGAATTATTTTACGTTATCATTTCGGGGCCTTTTATAGCTGACTATGCGGTATGGGCTTTGCTCATTGTTGAAGGCCGTACGGTGACCTGTGGTTGTTAATTTCTGTGTCATTTTGGTCTCTTGTGGAGAGTTGTCTCATTGGCAATCATACCACATCTTCTTTTTTTATAATATGTAATTTTTTAAGAAATTTATAAATTATGGTTCCAATGGCAACACAAAATACATAATAAACCCAGATTTGTTTTCCTATAAATAAATAGAAGAAGTCCAATTAATCGTGGACGATTACATGATGGTGACAACTATACTATTAGTTGGCGGTTTCACTGAATCGTAAATATAACAAGACAGGATTTTTTTAAAGAAATCGTTCACTGGAAAAGATCTAGTAGTATTTAAAGAATCTGGTCTTATTCTTCTAAAAGGAAGTCTTATTTGGTCATCAACCACATGTTTTTAATAGAATTATTAAAAATTCGTGCATAATGATGTGCTGAAATGATAAAAAAAAAAAATAGTATACGAATCGTTTTTTATCTGAAATTCACGACACATAAATGACTAAATGATGTACGCCACCCTGTTTGAAAATAACAATATTTCTAAAAGACTGTCATTAATTAAAAATGTAGAAATAACATAACAGAAAAAGCAGAAAAAAGGAAGGACCTGTGCGCTTGTTTTTGAGATATAAGCCATTGAAAATTTGGCGGGAAATACTTTCTCTAGATTTTTCATGTATTTAACGTTGACACCTTTTTTCTTTAAAAGATATGTAATCATATCAAGGATTTCATATGTTTTTCAAATATGGCTTTTCAAAGTATATCTAATACAATTATGAAAAGAAAAGTCAGGGTTAGCGGGCAGAATTTTTAAATGAACATAGATAACACCAGAGTAATCAGAACATCTGACATAAAGTTCAAAACGAGAGGAGCGAACATCTTTAATGTGTAAAATATTAAACGATAACATATAACGCAGAAATACAAATAGTCGGCATTCCTATCAAAAGTTAACTAATTGTAGTACAAAACATTCTTTTCGTTCCGATCAGCTCTCGAAAGACTGAACAACATATCTTAAAGTCATGTTCGGTATTTTAGTCAGTATTCAGACTTGTTGATTACGGCTAGTGCAGTACTGTTTCATTGTTTTTCAACTCAGAACTGTTCATCCTATGTTAAGACTGTTAAGTAGTTTTTGACTTCCTGTGAGAATAGCATTATACCAGTTTGTCCAAAAGCAACTGAATTCACTACGAGCGATTGTCTGAAAAGTTCTGAAAATATACAGGAAGCCTGAAGGTAGCTGAATAATTGTTCAATAAGAAGTTAATTGATTCTTAATATGGAATTGAGAATGGAAACCACCATAAAACGGCAGAGAGAAAATCGCGCATACGGAAGCGGGCTTGAGCTAGCTCGTACCTTATCAATAATGTATACTGAGCCAAATGAACGCCACAATAAATTCTGAAAAACAAAAAAATGAACCAAAATTAAAAACACACCAGACATTCAAAGGCTGGAGTTTCCTTTCATAATTTAAGGTTCTCAATCCCGCATTTGAATGGTTAATAAACGGTTAATGATCGACTTGTTTTTGTATTCAGTTGAATCATAATTTGCATTATATCGTTTCATGGACAAATAGGAAAAGCATACAGCCAATTTTTTAAGTTTCACGTTCAAATATAGTTATGATACATTCATCTTAAAATAGACATAATAATGACACCACTTCATTCTATGATTGACAAACATGACGAGTTTAGTTTTCAATTGCTTTGTATCAGCGAATGTTTCCTACAAATCAAAATGTATACATGTACGTGTAAAGATCGTTTCAAAATTGAAATATACTACATATTTTAAGAAGCTGATTATGAAATCAATATGGAAAGACAAAATCTGAAAAAAAGGAAAACAAAGTTGCGTTTAGTGACTACAGTTTGATCATAACAATAGGTCTCTTTTAATATATATTCAACAACGACAAAAAAACAAAACAATGACGGCGTTCATAAATGTTTTGAATTGACGACCCTGTAAATGGCTTTTTAAAAGTTTAATCGTAAACATTCCTATCAAGTGTAATACAACACATGCTTAGACCACAATGTATTTCAATTTAATTCGCATGGTGTACATTGCCAGACGGAACAGTTGATGTGTTAACAATAACCCCAACGTTAAGTGATTTGTGCATTCATGCCTAATCAGAGAAGCATATCAAGTTGAATCTACCTGGCTCTCAAGATTATAATACATCTTTCGTGTCTTATTATGCAACCCCTTTTTTAATTTGAAAGTGTCTATAATTATTCATCAGCAATTTCCTAACAGAAAATGAAAATTTTCGGAAATTGTCTAGTACCTACGTCTATTTTGTATACAGTATACCGTACAGAGGATAATTTTCGCGGGGTGTAAATTTTCGCCTATTTTCGCAGATAGAACAAAATCGCCAAAACAAATTCCGCCAATAATGAAGGTGCACATGCAAATGTATTGATAAACGTTTTGAATCCGCCAAAATTATAACCGCTAAAATATTTCGTATACTTTATTCAATGAAAATCGCGAAATTTTATACTCACGAAAATAACCCGCTGTAAGGTATCATACGCCCGCAGGCATATTGTTAACTGGCATTTTTTTTTCATTCTAAATTCGCCATACAACTTTAACAATAACTACATACCCACTACAATAATACCGTTTTTATTTCCAAACAGAATAATATAAACTATTTACTCCTTTTCTGAAATATCCACATAATTATATTTATTTTTAGAGAAAGCGTACAAACATATATTTAAACTATTTAAACAGAAATAAACTTATTCCAAAAGTAAAAACTAAATTTACCGTTCTAAATACAACGATATATTTATTTTTTAACCATATTTTCCCACTGCACAATTAAAAATTGTTCCCTGAAACATATCCTCTCCAACTACACCATACACAGTTCATAGGGGAGTTTTATTTTAAGAATAAAAATGAGCTAATGTAGGGACTTGGAAAAAAATCTGATCAAGATATTAACAATTATAGCAAAGAAAGGAAAATTTTCTAAATTATTTTCGACAAAAATTATCTAAACCTAGTTAACATTATTGTTTAGGGACCAACTGAAGCCCTCTGCGGGGTGCGGAATGTTCTCGCTGTATTGATGACCATTTGGTGGCATTGGTCTGTATACTGCTCTTTTGTCAGGTTGTTGTCTCTTTGATTTTGGTTTGTTTCGTATGTTCATTTTTAATCAATAAGAACTTGTCATAGTCATTTACATGTCATTGACATGACTTAAATGTTTAAAAATAATTCTTTGTTAATTACTAACATATCATCATATAACAGAGCATGTAAATCAGTATCGTATTCAAAATATAATACTGACATTGTCCAACATCATCATACCGAAAACAACAACGAGCAACTCGTATGAATTAAAAAAAACAAACTGATGATTACATTTTGAATTCCTAAGCTATATGTTTATTTTACAACAACATGACCAATAGCAAACAGTATGTACAGTAAGTATATGGTAATAATGAACGATTTTAATGTTATATATGCAATGTACTAATGTGTTTCCGCATTTATTATGTATATGTTATAAACAATCTTATTAATAATTCCCTTCAGTGAGCAAATCTGCCACAATTGCAGATCATATTATCATATTATTATACATGTTCCATTACAATATAATTAAGTGTTACGAGGTCGGTGCAGGGTTTCTTTTTTAAAAGTGTGTGTCTTTTATAAACGTCTGCTCGTGTTGTATAGCCAAACATCAAACTGAATCGTGCTATACGATAACTTTTTAGCAGCATCTGCTTTGAAATAAATACCATCTCTATTTAATTATTTCATGTGTTCATTTCCCCAACTATTATCCCCTGATTTTCATTGGTAAGAAAACAAAAATATTGAAAGATATAAGAATCAGCTTCTTTTATAAATTGTATATTGATAGAGAGATAATCAGTTAATAGGATGGTTAAGAAAGTACTACAACTGGTCATTGCTCTAATATGGATGACAAATAGTGTACACAGTTGCTGGTGTAATATTTTGCAGCACCCTCAAGATCAATTCTGCAAGTCTGACTATGGTAAGTTCTAGAATGAACGTGTAAATCAACGGCCTTGATTGATGAAAGTGTGTAACATGTGTAACGAATAGAATTTGGATATTTTTTGCTATTTTGGTTGAGGCTTCATCAAAATTAGAGATTGTTCAATAATGGATTTAAATAAAAGAAGATTAGTTTGAACTAAATCACTTCGTCACAAACACACTATACTTTCCAAAAAAAGAAACACAACAACCGAAATGATTTTTAGGAATATGCACTTTTTCCCTTTGACTTAAGTGATTGAGAAAAAAAAAGGATTATGTTTAAATTTAAGTGTCCATTGTTTAATATAAAGTCCGAAAAGTTGATATTGATCACACGGCTGCATGAGTTAGGCCCACGTGCAAAATTATGTCTCATTCGTTTTTTCTATAGGATGGTTGAAAGGGAATTAAAGGCACCCAACATTGATTAATTCAGTCAATAAATTCATTCTCTAACCTGCTACGATATACCCTGACTAGACTTGACACAACTAGGAACATCGTCATTGTTCGTTGTCGGACCGGTGAATAAAAAAAATGCTGTGCTAGACTTTCTGATGTTCAACCGTGCAGATCTTCCGGAGTAATGCAACGGTACCAGCTATCCAGTTTAACCGTCAAATGTTTTGACTTTATATAGACAGAAGAAGCTGTGGTATGACTTAAAATGAGACAACTCTTAATCCAAGTCATAATTTGTAAAAAGTAAACCATTAAAGGTTAAAGTACGACCTTCAACATTGAACCTTGTAATACATTGAACAACAAGCTAAATGACTAGTTTAAAATAAATCAAGCAGGAAAACCAACAGTTTAATTAAAAAAACAAACGAGTAACGAGAAACACTTATGAACCACATTTACAAATAACAATAACTGAATAATAAGTTCCTGATTTAGGATAGGTGCAAATAAATGCAGTGGGTTTAAATGTATTAACAGGCCCCACAATTTACCCTAACCTGAAACAGGTGTATAACATCACAACATAGGAAGTCACACTATTAAACATCAATTGCAATGACTTGAATCGATCAAAAAAAAAAATATTATCAAAACAAGTAAACATACACATACATTTGATCTATAACAAAACATAAATATAATATAAAAAACTATAGCCTGTGACAAAATGACGTAAAACAACTTACACAGAACTATACATCAAATAATTTTGTTGTTAGGAGTACTGAAATATTTTTTACAAACTAATTGGTGTTCAAAGTACAAGAACAAAAGTAAAAATCGTAATGCTAAACATTTATCAAAGGTGGTACATATCGAAATAGTGAGACGAGATATAACACAAAAAGGCAAACATTCAATAATAAATATGTATAATAAATTGTGTCAAAATGTAAAATTAACACAAACGTATGACTTGATACTTCGCGCAGTTGATGAGTGCTAGTTAGAAGCCAAAAACAATTAAAAAAAAAATAGGTCGTGCATCAGAGACTAACATTATTCAAAACGCATCCCAGGGATCAAGTGCTTTTATCGCAATGGACGTTAAAAAACATGGCTTGTGCAATTCCAAAAAAAAAAAAACCAAATTATCGACAGGTAGAAGGATAGTTAGGATTTAATCTTAGTATGAATATGTATAATGCTATATATAGATACAGCATTTGCTATATAGACAATAAATGTGGATGTGTCAATATCCATTAAAAAACCCATTCAGAACGAACATGATGAACACAGATTTATTTATGTTTTATTTTATTGATGACAAACTCTACTAATCAAATCTTTGTATCTATGAAAGCATTTACAGGTAAAAGTTTTAAGTAATTTATGGGAACGAAATCCCTGACCTAATAACTTACCAGTGATGCATTGGTAACGTTGGTTAAAATCTATGATATCACAACACACACGGGCAAATCATACCAGTTAGAATACATAAAAAATGTGGACACGATGGAGCTAAAGAAACTTTCGCGTATAAAAAAGGAAAATTAACAACAGGGAATGAGAAATCTTTTCTTTTGTAAAAAATATTGGTATCTTTCTTATTTTAGAGTTTCCCTTTAGAAACTGAAATATCTAAACCTAGCTTATAGAAAAGGTCATCTACTGCTTTTTTAAGTTTGATTTATAAAAAGTAAGGTATATGCTCATTTCATCTGGGTTCTTCAACTGACAAAATCTGACCGGGATAGTATCAATTGTACGAGGTCTACGTCGAATACCTGCACATACATAGTGAAACTGTCTCCGCGAAAACAGCTTGAAGTCTTTGAATTCAACAATTTCATCACAGTGAGTGGTGAGAATGGAGATCGCCGGGAACCTTTACGCCGCTCAATATAGAGATGAATACATATGCTGCCCGCAATAAACCTCTATAGGGACGTTTCTCAAGCGTGACAACGTTGAATCGCACAAAGTTCGTGCTAATGTTTACTTCCTAGCCAACAATAACGTAATAGATTTGAACTCAAATAATATTTGTGGCATGATATGATGAAGAATATCATATAAATAACACATAGCTGAGAGGTTGATAGAGCAGATTGTTACCAAGAGAAAACATTGTCAACCGCGGTGAAGCCAAGGTTGACAATGCTTTTTCGAGGGGTACCAATCTGCTCTATCACCCTCTCAGCTATGTGTTATTTAATTTATTATACTGAATGTCCTATCATTATTGTCTTTTACAGATTAATTTTATTTTAAAAGTATGTTCTATGACGTCACGTACATAACAACGTTACGGGTATTAGAAAAAACAACAAAAGTGAGGCAAGATGTTTTATTTTTTTATTTTGACAGTCAAATAATTAAATCTGAGCCAAAACGTGGAACTTAAGCATTATTTTTTAATTACTTGATGTAAATTCAATTCATTGTCCTTTAAATTATCGATTTTTGATTGGTCTGGACAAGAGGGTGACATTAAAAAAAATTGTCACCCGCTCAGCCATGTGATAGAGTAAATTAACACCCTCGTATTAACCAATCAAAATATGGAATTTTAACGTGAAGTATAATAAAAGCGTATGATGCATATACAATTTATTGACTTTATAGTGACTAGTAACGTCATCTAGATGCCGGTTAAAAATGACATTTGTTGTAACTTGGTAGTCTGATCAGTTGGTGTGCTTAATTTCAGAGTATTAAGTTACGTTAGTGTTGTGATGCTTATTTATTAGTTATTTCGGTATGGGCAATGATGTTGAACATTTGAGCTCAAATATATTTTTCCACAAGTAATGTATCTTTTAAGGTAGAATGTTATGTTTCTTAAAATGTGTTTCACTATTTATTGTTGATTTGACTACATTGTAAAACTTGACTCATGAGTATGTCTCGCCTATCTCTTTCAACATAACATGCTTTCATTGCTAGTTACCCAACATTTTATTTGAAAGACCACTTTAACATTGTTAAAACCATGAATCTACATATTTTCGATTCATTGTTTTTCAATGAATATTGGTTTTCGTGGTTTATGTTAATTCAGGTGAACGACAAATTTAAATAGTTAACGAATTACAAGTTTTCCGATTGTGTGCATACTTTGGCTTAATCACAAAATCACATATTGTTTTCGGAGAGTTTTCCGCAATCCACGAAAATTAGTTCCGACAAACATAGATGAGTCCACAGTATATCGATTTTTATATCATGTGATCTCTTTTGTAAAAGAAAGATGATTTATATCAAAATGATATTAATACTTTTAAATCGAAGACTTAATCAGTGTAGAATGAAATCCGTCATGACGGTATAACAACATATTTATTAAACTGTATATTGGTCATAATAAGATTAAACCCCTCTCTTAATAGCCGCACATTAATATGCAAAACAACAAACATCATGTACATACTAGAAACATTTGGTTGAATACAACAATATGTCAAACTGATAACGGACAAATCCATTTCAAGTATTTGTAGATAAACACATTATATAAGAATTATTGTTTTACAAAATAATCTCTTGTTTTACAATGACGTACGTTCTTTCAGTTTTCTATGGTAAAGTAATCAATGAGAAACTTATAGAAGGTCTAGGAAATGATGTTCACAATAATAAGGCGATTTGGGAATATACTTTTAAAGTTATTTTTAAAATGAAGGTAAGTTTCAGTAATTGCATTCAAAATCTTTCAATTTGTACTTTCAATATGAAATAAATAAACTTGCTATGATTGACAATATGACAGCTCACCATCATGCAGAGGAAAAATTGCACAGAAGCAAAACAAAAACTATAGAGTAAGGAATATAGAAGTACTTGTTTGAACTGTGGACATAATAATAAAAAGACATATTTGCTTTTCAATTACCATGGCTTTCAAATTTAAGTTGATGTGACTGGCATATATACTCCATAACAATGATGGTATTCGATGAAAGCTCGTAAAATTAAAGATATACAAAACGAATGGTTGCATTTGAAAACATTGAAAAGGGAAGTCTTTTCTTTTACAGCAAATTTGAAAAAAGCTCTTGAAAAAGTGAGGCGAAGGATCCCTAAGGTACATCCAAACTAACAAGTCGAAAATAGATTGAAAACGCCATAGGTTAACAGATAAAAAGAAACAACAGTACACAAAACACAAAACATAAAATGGAGAACCATAGACTGAGCAACATGAACTTAACCAAAAACTGTAAGTGATCTGAGATGCTTAGGAGGGATATCAAATCCCGCTCAATATATGGCATCAATCGTGTTGCTCATGTACGTACAAAACCGGTAGTTAAAATTATCAAGATTATGCATCAATACAAACAATCAATCAACAAAATTGGACTTTTCACTGTAAATTACAATTTTACAAGTGAATGCAGAACCTTTAGAATATCAATTACAGTGAAGTGTGAACTTTTGTTCTGATAATGATATGTAGTTTTTGATTTCGTGTAAAATTGTCTGTACTTTGAAAATGATAATAGCTTAACTGATTGAAGTATGTTTATTGATGTATACATTTATAATACAGGGGATGATTGAGGGAGTTGGACAAGATGCCGTTGTAGAGACAAAAGGAAATCAAGCCCTCTGTGGTGTACGCTTTACTGTCGGAAAGTCTCATATCTTAATGGGTAAATATACTGTATGGTACAACATGAATTACTATAGACTTGTACATACTGTCCAACAACTGGGACTCATACACTTAAAATTGAAATACTAAAAACGTGAAACGAAAGCAAGGAGACGATAAAAAATAAAATACACAGAAAACTAAACAACTAAATGGTTTGAAAGTAAACATATATAAATACTATAAATAAAGGTACATGTATATAATTGTGAAGTCCCATACTAGTTTTACATAATATTGGTGGTAGAATTCAAACTAGGAGCCCTCACAAACATTATTACAAAAAATCAGGCATCAGTCACGTTGCTAGGTTTAAACGATAGGGGTAATAATCATGAATAATAACGGCTGATATGGACCAACTCAAATTAAACACATCTGGTATTGTGCATGTTTGCAATTGAATTAAATACCTTTCAGGAAAACAATGTTCTAATAGCCACAATATTGGTAATTATTCGAAATATGTTTGGTGTAATAAAAATATACATAATGTCGTCAAAAGTACAACATTCGAAACAATATTCTAAACAGTCCGGCCAACAAATGAAGTCCATCAGAGGATAGAACGCCAGTTAGACCTGAGACTAAAGTACAATTATATGAAGTGTTGTCTTTTCATTTTTTGAACAAAGTGGCATTTTTTTATATTATGAAATCAGTAAATAATTTCATCCTTTAGGAGCAAAGAAACCCGATGGAACGAAAACAATAGCATTATGTGTTTTCATGACACAGCTCAGCAATCTGTCACCATATCAAACTTTTTACCTGTTTACAAAAGGTCCCTATTCGTACAGAAATAACTGTGGATTAGGATGCGTATGTATCATAATATTAAGCTATGTAGTTATTGTTTGTACTTATGTGTTTTTGTCATTATTTGGAAACATCTATTATAGTATTTGGTTCAGCTGAATTTCTTGTATGCATCGTTTTGTTAGGTCAATCAGCATTGATGAATAGTGCATACACAAATAAAAATTATCCTTACAGGAAAATTCCTGTTGTCTGAAATGACTGTACACAAAGGTAACACAACACAAATTCAAAAAGATAAAGTCTATAATTGCGATGACCTAAATAACCAACGACGTTTAAAATCCCGCAAAAAAGGCAATTATTTTATATACACCGTACTATTTTGTTTACAGCAATAATAATAACACATAAAGAATAAAAAAAAAAGGAAAAAACTCAAGGCCTAAGGTCACAGTGTATAGAAAAAGGAAATAAGTATCAAGGGATTTTCAAAAAAAAAAAAATTGAAAAAGACTTTATCAAAATATATATATTCACAGACACAAGAAATGAAAAGACTGGAAAACACAATTGCTGTAAATACTCAGATTATAAGTCAACCACAGAATTTACGATTTTGCTCAACTAACAATACTATTGTAACTAAAATGAACAACGATATGCCAACAAACTGCATAATTACAGTAAGACAGTACACTCAAAACGCTTTCTTTTTTTTCAGAAAAGTAGTCCAACATCAGTAGGTTGCAAATATCAGTCAGGAAGTGATCCGGCGAACACCTGCCTTGCCAAGAAGGCACTGTGCAAAAAAGAAGGAATGCAGTGTCGCTGGGATAATAATGGATCATGTTAACGCATTTATGTAATCAACATGCGGACCTCAATGGATGACTAAATACAAATGGAAATTATTAAATAGACTTTTAGATCGACATATTGATGAAAATGGGTATTAAAAGTGTTTGACTGTTTCAAACCGTGTGGTTATGCTCAGTTCTAGACAGTAACTTATTCAAAAGTCGGATTACGGATACCAGATGGACATTCAAACACATAAATCGAAAATATACTGACAACGCCATGGCTAAAAAAGAAAAATAAAGACAAACAGACAAATAATAGTACACAACACATAACATAGAAAAAGACCAAGCAACACGAACCCCACCAAACACTAGGGGTGATCTCAGGTGCCCCGGATCCTGCTTAAATTCAGATGAACTTAACATTTGACTCTTTATTAAACATGTACTCTATATATTTTGGTCAACTTATTTATTCACCTCGTTTTGATTTCTAGTTTATACAAACAATGTTCTGTCCGAAACATGTTTCTCCGTCTAGTTTGATGTGTAATATATACTAATCGAAATCTGAACATCAATATTCTGTAGTTTTATCTACATTTATATGTTTTTCATTGGGTAAAACCGTACAGCTTGTAAGTTAACAGTATCACTAATACCACATAGTCTTATATCTATAAATATACCTAATCATTCATCGTCATTGGAGAAAAAAATCCATGATAACAAAAAATATATCTACAAACAAAAACAAACTCACATCTGACAGAAAATAGTTGCTAGTTAATTATATGCATATAGCATGTACAGCATTTTACATATACATGAATATTGCGTTCTGTGTAAAATTTTACAAACCACTGAACGATGTATACTTTGTGTGTGAACATCTGCCATGTTGGTTCTTTCTACAATCAACATGTTCAATACAGAATATTTTCATTCAAATATTCAAATGAATTATTTGACAACTAGCTGACTTTAAGGTCCCATACGATACGTTGACAGAAGTCTATGTATAGCAAGTATATTTTACTTAATATACACATATTATAGTTATTAGTTATATGGACCACGAATAAGTCACTAAGGTTATGAAATTACTGCCACTTATCCTGGCTTCAGAATGTATGACCATACTTTGTACGTGTGTTCATCCAGCTATTTTGGTAACCCTTAAAGTAAGTTTGGCTCATCCAGTTATGTTACAGTGAATGGACCGAAACACTGATGACTGAGCTGATGATACCCTTGGGCTGAAACAGCCTACCAGCAGAGGTGTATGTCCATCATACTGGATTCGAAATGCTCAAAATAGATGAAGAGCATTGCTTTTATATGTACAGGGTCAACACAATAATGCCTTTAAAATATAAAACATTATACAGAAAACTAAGTTTTTACTTAATTTCTGTTAGTAAAGTTTCTAAAAGGAGTTGATCATTTATAGTATATTGAATTTCTAAGTCATTTATCTTTTCTAATGTTTCTCTGTTGTATACTAGTGATGCATATTGTTCTTTTACCGTATTTATAGTCTCTTTAACAGCAGCTGAATATTCAATGTCAGGTAAAAGTGAATTGTTAAATTTCAATAGACCTTTACCAATTATAAAGTTATTCATCTTTAAATGTAACATTATTGGGGAGTGATCAGATCTATAACTGTTAAAAAAGTGTACATCATGTACATGTTGATTAAGGCCTTGTGATATTTAGAAGAAATCCAATCTTGCTTGTTTAATGGGATTATTTTTTCTCCATGTAAATTTTTTTAGTTCAGGGTACAGTTCCCTATAGGGATCTGTTAAATCATAATTTTCTATTATATCTAAAACTTTCTCTTTGGCATTCGGGTTATTTACATTTTGATAATTATAAGTATCAAGATTTTGGTTTTGGACTAAATTATAATCTCCAGTTATTATAACTGATTGGTTGTTCAAGTTTTCTATTGTGTCACTAACTCTAGAATAAAATTCAGGTGAATCTTTATTTGGACCATATAAGCTTATTAAAGTTAATCTTTTTCCTTCAGTTTCAATATCAATTCCTAACAGATTCCCTTGATCATCTTTTTTTATTCTATGTATCTTGTATTCAAAGTTTTTGATAAACAATATTGCTACCCCTCTTTTGTTCGTTTCAAAGGAATTGAAAATACAGTCTCCTGCCCATAGATTTTTTATTGATATTTCTTCTTTTTCTGAAAAATGTGTATCTTGCAAACAATATATGTGGCAATTTTTTGCTTTAAGATAATCAAAAACATCTCTCCTCTTCTCCTTTGAATTTAAACCTTGACAATTGTATGAAACAATTTTTATACCATTATCACTCATTTATTAAATATTTATTTTTATAGCTGAACAAAAACTTGAGATTTGATAAGTGTATTGCGACCTTATTCTTCCATAATGTATTATATAAGTTAGTGATAATGTAACTCTGAAATGTCTGACCTCCTCTAACTTGTCTGCATTACTTTCCTGCTTTTTTCTAAATGCATCATAATTGCTGTACAATAAGTAATACTGGGCCAAAATGAAAAAGAAACATAAAAAATAAAAGAAACAAAAAGAAAGAAAATTTGAGATCATAGTGTAAACAACAAACATCTAACAATAATTACAAACAAATTATTATTGTAGTGAAGAGTAACATATCCACTTGTGTTCAAATATTTTTTAATACAGAAATATTGTATACAAAGGGAGATTATTCTATCTAACTGAAATTATAATAAAAATTATCACCCTTATATAATGTGTTTTCATATCAAAATCTAAATGCATTAAATTTCAACTGTTTTAATAAGTTTTTGTTTTGTTTCAATTCAAATGAGTCAAACCCAAAGAAATAATGGATTATTTCAATATATGAAGATAAGAAATATGTGTATATTTAGTTTTTGCTTATAACATGTACAAACAGATGTTTGGTTTTCAGTGAAATCAATAGATTTGTTTTCTTTATATTATTCATGTCGTGTTAACATTTACAACATTTTGCAGGTGTATTTTCTTTTCTTCTTTTTTTTTTTAAAGCAGTGAACACACACTTCATAATATTTACACCAAGAGCATAGGAAATCATGTATATGTAACTGAGAATTAATAGCAGCTAATTTAAAAAGCTCTTGCCATGCACAAATTAAGCTTCAAGCATTTCAACACAAACAAAATACATTTAAATACAAACTAAGCGCTAGTAGGAAAGTAGTTCATGAAGCATGAAAGGGCTATACGATTGCATCTCTTTTAAAAAAAAATTCTGCAATAAATTTTAAAGTAATCTTTGTTAAGCCAGGATCACTTATTCATTTGAATCATTTGTAATAATTTCACCTTCTACTAGTATCATGGTATTATTTGAGACAAGATAACAGTAATGAAAGCCTGTTGCATAAAGTTTCATTATAACAAGGCTTCTAATGATGAATTTTGTATAACTTTTACAGTTTTACAGTTTCTATTATCTGTTGAGTACTGACCTTTCGACCAGTCATTTAAGCGTGAGAAAATATCAGTCATTAAGCTTTTAAATTTTGAGACTATATAATATATATATATGACATGTACATAGTTTAAACTAGTATCTTACATGTATCTTTGCTATTTTTGAGGGGTGTGAAAAACATTCCTGTTTGTACCTATAAGAAAACAAAAAGGCAAAATACATGCTGGAAAGCAATAAAATAGAAAAAGCTAGTAAACAAAAAAATAGTTAAACAAGAAAATCAGCAAAAAACATACACACATCACAAAAAACAAGACAACATTACACATCTATACTTACTGGTATGTCAAACCCTAAAAAATATTAAAGTATAATAGATACATTTTTGTATATTTGTTTATGAACACAAATATTTAGACCAAACAAGTAAATATACAAAAAAACTGAGATGCACATCAACAATCCTAGCACTACTTGTTCTACATGTACATGAACAAGTGCTGATCAGACACAACTGATGTCTTTACGGACGTTCCAGACATCACGTGCGTTTAAACGGGTTTCTAGAACCAAGTGTACACCTCTTGCTCTTATCCTTGTTTGTAGTTTTTCTTTAGTCCTGATGTTATATGCTATTTTCGCAAGATCGTAACGTGCCTTTTTCATAATAACTGGAAGATCATCAACAATTCGTATCTTTTTGTTTGCAACTTTGTAAGCCTGAGCCATAATACATTGCTTGGCAGCATAATGCATGAACCTAACAATAATTGCATCAGGGCGTTTTGTACCAACAACTGGAGCTTTTGCGGGAATCCTATGAGCAAATGCAATAGGGAAACTGTCGGTTTTGAATCTTTCTTTTAAGATCTTTAACAAATAAATTATCAATCACTTCCAAAATTATCTCATTTTGTTTTTGTTCGATTCCGTAGATGAGGATGTTGTATTTTCTATCATGTTTCTAAAGTAGTATTTGACATTCTTTGAGTGAAGCAAGTTTTTTGTCTATGTCTATTTTGAGCCCTTTCAATTTCTCTGTTTCTAAACAATTTAACTGAGATTCCAAGTGTCCTACACCTCTCTCAAGGTCATTGTGGTCTTGCCTAAGTAATTTTACCTCAGTGTTTGTGATACTGAGGTCAGATTTTACTTGCCTTACCTCAGATTTCACATCACTAATTAGTTCAGTCAAGTTTTTCTCCACGGAGCCAAGCCTAGATGAGAACTTTGTTACCTTAGTATCTATACCCATCATTAAATTTTTAAGGTCAGCGAAATCTTCTTTTGTCACCTTGGCCATCTCTCAATACAAAGTTTTCATTCAATCAATCTACTGGTTTTTCGATATTTAACCGTACAGTATTTATTTGTTACCACAATATTCTGCGCTTAAACCATTTTCATTTTTGAAAGTTATATGACTATTAATTTCATATTTTTAACAACACAAACACATTCTAAATGGATAAATTACTCTTTTTGTTTCAGCTCGAAATTTTCATGGGCGCCGCCATGACAGGGGCGATAAGTTTTCCTCTATATATATTATGTAATACAATACTGTAAAAAAATAATTAGTTAAGATCGTTACAAAAGTACTACAACTGATAATTGGTCAAGTATGGATGACAAATAGTGTACAAACTCGTAAATACCTCGTAATATTACTGGTCCCTTACACAGAAACAACTCAATATATATTTTGCCCAAAATCTTCATTCTAACAAATTGGATGGAATACTTCATGTACTAGTGAAAGGGATTTGACATAGTGTTTTGTTTTTGTTTTATATTTTTTCCGTGTGATGATAATAAACTTCACATTTGCTTTTAATTGCATTATAATGGCTTTCAACGACTTATATGGTGAGTTGTCTCATTGGCACTTATACCACTACTTTTTCTATTTCAAATGAAAG